GAGAAAATCATCAACATCATGCGGAATTATTACGACGGACGACACCAGAAAGTGGTGTGTGGGGAGCAGCTTGTGGAAACAATAACATAGACCCATTTAGTAAATAAATTTTGTCATTATTCACATGGTTCGGAATTTTGCATAAATTTCTAAAATCTGTAAAGATCTGTACCACCCTGACCTTCCATTACGCATTTGACCTCTGCCCCCATTACATCTTGGTTATCGTCTATAAATGCACATGATTCTCGTTCCCACTAGGTCAACTGCCGCGCAAATAGATCCTCAATATGTTTGATATCTACATTTGTATTCCAGTTGTGTGATTGTTCTATGTTATATTGTATCGTGTTCGGGCTTATTGAACACTTTTTATAATTGTGGATTATGAAACCAAAAACTCAAACACGTCCTTTATTGACAATTAAAGTCCTATAGTTTTTGTGCATTTAATTTTTTGTACATTATCCACTATATCTATACTTTTGCCGAAAGACGCATCCCAAGTAAGGACCATAGTCAGACAAGGCTGCTTACTCTCACCCTTTCTGTTTCTTCTAGTGGTTGACAGGATTATGAAGTCCTCGAACGATAACCAGTGTAGCAGGAGTTTCTGTATTAGTGGGCCTCAACATACGCAAAGGATAAAGAAAGACCCTCATGTACAACATGGCGAACACCAACCCAACCACACTTGATGGAGAAGCTCTGGAAGATGTGGAGAGCTTCACGTACCTGGACAGCATCATCCATGAACGTGAAGGAACTAACGAAGATTTAAAGGCGAGGAATGGAAAAGTAGGGACAGCATTCCTACAGTTGATGAAAATAAGAAACTCAAAACAACTGTCAACCAACATCAAGTTAGAATCTTCAATACCTACTAGGTAATAAATTAAAAAGTCGAAATAAACCCAAAACACGTGAAAAAGTTGCCATTCCCAGATTCGGCTCAAGCATAAAAAGATACTATAGGTATCCGGAGTTTGACAACGCTTTTACACGTAACACCTTTAGAATGAAAGTGTGCCAACCCAGTCAAATCAGAAGACAGAAATGAAATGGTTCGAAAGTGCATTTAGAAGGCCATCGATATGTCGAGAAGCGTATGGCTAACCGTTGTAAAAGATGTGTATCACAATTTACTTGTGATCTGATGCGAATGCGTGACTGAGCACCTTCAGCTAGATGTGTCGAGTAAAACTAATGGGGTCAGTATAAAATGTCAAAGACTTACGGAACTATTTGTTTCGCGGATTGCTTAACCACTTCAATGTTGTAGAGATTTATTTAGCCGAAAGCATTGTACGACACATGTTATCGATATTTGTGACTCATAAGTTTATTTGATTTCAACATCTTATAATCACATAAGTTCATAGAAGTCGATGTCTATATTATCCCAAACTTGATACTTGCAACTGCCTTGCATTCACCATCAACCAGTATGTATTAATATAAATTAGGGGTTCAGAGCACATAAGAACATTGAGCCTAGAGCATGTTCCTCATGAATGCATCCACGTTCAACCAACTACCGTCAGCTTCCTGTCTGACGGTGTTTTCACATATTCAATGGATTTTCGATAACAGTTCACATGTATTAATAGTGTTACTCAGTTCTATCGCAGTTAATCAATAACGAGGTCGAGAAAATCTCCCCGTAGCTAAATAAACCGTATCAAACCTAAAATCATTAGTTGGGATTCTTCTCCTCCACAGTTACACTTCTGTATCGAATGGTCAGGGGCCTACTTGGGTTTGACGGGAATGGCGTGACCAACCAGCTGACGTCTAGATCACACCTCACAGTTAGTACCTAACATGGATTACCCTTTCGTCATATCTATGTACTATGGCAACTTTGATGACCATACAAGACAAACGACGTCATAAAAGAAATGTATTAGTAAGAATGGGCGCAAGAAACAAAGTGTGACCACTGAAGCATGAGCCAGTCGATGGAGTGCAACTGATTGGTGCACGTTGGTTGTCCTTGACCATAACGAGGATCGGTAAACTGCCTTATGATCAATAACCTGACTGCTGGGTAATTTAGCAGGAGCCGTAAAACTGGCACTGCAAGTGTCTCAAACCTCTTTCACTAATACTGAAATATCGAAATGCACATAATGTTCCCTGGAGTAGTTGACAAACATTCAACTGACAAAACAAACATTTAGTCAATGATAGTTGTTTCCTTATTTACTTAATACAATAACGGAATGTTCAAACTTGTTGTCAATGACAATAGTGGACAAGGATTTCCAGTCATGTTTCCAATGTACAAATATGGAAAAAAAATCAGATTTCATATGAACGGTGGGAAAATTTAAAGTGACAGCTTGTGGAGGTAGTTAACGTAGACTTATTTTGTAATTAGTTTTTGTTATCATTCGCATTTTCTACACGTGAGCTTTGTAGTGGTAGATGCTATTTCAAGCCCACATAGAGTATTCTAGCTTCTGGACAGACCAACTTGTTCTTATTTTTACCTTTTCACTTATTGACTGGTTAACCTGATTGTTTTTACATGACCCACTAAAACAGGTCAGTAAATCTATGGTTCATATGGAAGCCAGTCACAAGAACCGAGTTCTTTGTAAGAACCCAGGTGAGCCCATCCCAATGAGTATATTTTACATCATACAGAGTTTACATCCAATACACAGTCAGAAAGACACACATGATGAACCTAAGGAGAAGTACAATCATTTACAGAAATTTGGATTCTTATTTAACCTGTAGTGGTTGTGTCATTTGTACGAACTAATGATTCCTTTATACTTGATTGAGCACTTATTACGAATTACAAATATAATACTTTCACATATACTCATCTAGTTCCACCTGCCTCAAAATGCACTATTTCAAGAACTCTTAGTTAGTACATTAATTTGAAATTCCTTAATATGATCAAGTAAATTATTCTGTTCAAATTATATTGTATTCCTTCTAGGTTCTCTTTTTTCTTCTAGGGACTTTAATTATCTTTAAACTGATATTATCTAATTCTGTCAGATTATGAATTTAATTAAATTTAGAGCAAGAAACTAAAATTAAAACCTTTTCTCATAGTACTAGCCACTGAAGATACCACAGATACTCAGAGTTTGACAACGCTTTAACCAGTAACACCTAATATGAATCGCACCCACCAAGAGAAATCAAAAGACAGAAGCCATAAGGTTCAAAGATAAATTTGATAGGTTATCAATCTATTGAGGATCAACTGATCTAGGCTGGCTAGCGACTGCAGGGGATGTTGAGCACAGCGTTCCCACTCGTGATCTGGTGCGTATGCATGACCGAGCGCCTTCAGCTAGCTGAGTTCACTAAAACTAATGTGGTCAGCATCCAATCTCGAAGACTTACGGAGCTATTTATTTTGGGGATTTATTTACCGCTACACTACAAATATATTTTTATCTACTGATCAATCTATTTTACTTTATCTAAGTTTGAATTCAGCTGTTTGCATGTTGATTCATTGTCGTCATAGAGTTATGAATATTTTATCAATCTGTATACATGAAAATGTTATAGTAGAAAAATAAACATTCACTATAATGATGAGAGAAAATAAAGAAACATATGTATATACATAGTGAATGTAAGTAGTTGGTGAGACTATAATTTATAGACGAACAAATCACGTATAAAACAACGAGTTACGAGTTTTGAGCGTCACAAGACAAGCCCTCACATGGAATTCTCAAGGCCAAGGGAAAAGAGGAAGACCAAAGAACACATTACGCCGAGAAATGGAGATAGACATCAGAAAAATGAACAAGAATTGGATGGAATTAGAAAGGAAGACCCAGGACAGAGTGAGTTGGAGAATGCTGGTCGGCGGCCTATGCTCCATTAGGAGTAACAGGCGTAAGTAAATAAGTATGAGTTTTGGCACGAAACTTATTCATACATTGGACTAAATAGAATTTTGATATTTTAGCTAATGTCATTTGGTAATGAAAATTCTAAATTTAATTTTTAACCTTAACCATGAACTGTAAATCATAATTCTAACTAGTTAATAATCCTCATTTAATCCTAATCAGTAGGTATCCACTCTCAAGGTCACTTCAGTGTCGCTTAACGGTCGTCCATAGATTATAGTCTCACCATTCATTCTTCAACATTTATTTCACTTACTACTGATATCTATTGTAGTAAGCTATGTATTTCGTGACAGTTTACTTATTTTAATGGTTAAGATCATGAGTCAGTTGAAGCTAGACCACCATGGAAAACCTGGAAGCACTGGACGGCCGTTTCGTCCTATTGTGGGACTCCTCAGCAGTGCGCATCCACGACCTCGCCCCCTGCGAGAGTCGAACTCAGGACCTACTGGTTTCGCGCCCGAGCACTTAACCACTAGACCACTGAGCCAGCTGGCATCCAACGGTGTTAATGTCTAACTTCAACTAATCCACGAAATTGAGCGACACATTCACCATTGTCTTCAGTGAGTTACTATCTCACAAGAGACCTGGTTGAACTCCACTGGTCACTACTTCTCAATAGAACTCCAGGATATATCTCGTGAAGCCAGTCACTAGTGAGTATATGTTGATTAATATCAGATGGGTTTTTGTGGAGATTGTAGTAATTTCAATGGTTAAGATCATGAGTCATTTGAAGCTAGACCACGATGACTAGTTTGGATGTCATGTTGTCAATTATTGTTCATATACTAAAATGAAGAGAAGAAAAACGTACGATTAAAGTTTTAATTAGAAAAAAATGGGATATTCGGTTAGTATACATGAGTTTTGGATATATATATGTATACATATATATATTCCGTAAAATAGTGAATAGGTTTTATAAATGTCTACTATGGATGATAATTTACAGTAGTTCGATTTGTTTTCATTTGAAAGAAGTATCTTTCGAATATGAGCTTCTAGAACAAACTTACCATATAGTCATGGAATAGGAATTATGTTTTTAAAAATGTTTTTCTTTGTTTTCTATATGTTATGTAATATGAATAGTTATTTCACATCCCAAATAAGAACATAATTGTCACTGTCATCATCACCAATAGTACAACAAAGATTATTATCATATATTCCCAATGTTGTTAAATCTTTTTTACTAAATTCTTCACGTCCTTCACCACCGCTAATCACTTTCATTTTTGTATTAATAGTAGTACATGGATTTATTGATGATCTACGACTACCACTAAAATGATGTCTAGATAATTGACCAGATTGACTATGATCAGTTGTTCGACTAGAATTAACTAAATGAGATGATGTGTTTGTTTCATTATTATCTGATGATGTTACTTTATCAGAAAATGGGGTTATTGCTGAATTTGATATGTATATTGATTGATTAGATGTATTGATTTTTTCATTTTTACATGTTATTGAATTTTCATCATCTGCTATGTTATCCAAAGTTACAAGGAATCGAACTTGTCCAATATGTCCATATGATAAAGCTGAGAAAAGTAAAAATAAAATGTAAAAAAAATGTTACAAACTTAGAATATGGTTCAATTTAATACAATTGATTGATCTCAGACGGATTATCAATGGTAACCAGGGAATACTAGACAACTAAGATCATTCTGTGATGAGTATTTCTTTCAAACTAAAATATTCTTAATAAAGTACCTTTATAAAAAGTAAATAATTATTCATTCCATGATTGTTATCATAGTGTAAATAACTTAATGTGTAGTCTATACAAACCTCACAGGATTAGTGTTATAGTTATCATATAATCATTTCTAAACACAAATTACATCGTCAACTGACTATGGTTGAAAAGTGAAAATGGTGAATTTCAACTAACCATTTAAAAGCTATATATAAATCTATGTCAGCTGAATATGCTAAATTTGGTTATATACATTTTTGTGAATATACACTGCTAAAACATCTCACTAGTAAATGAAATACAGTTTTGTGTTTTAACTTCTATTAGAAATTCCAATATTCTACCATGTAACTACTCAGGAATACATAAATACGGCGTATAACCTATAAACTTCATGTTTCATGTAAATCTAGATACATACCAGTCAGTGTTTGAATCCTTACTTACTTACGCCTGTTACTCCCAATGGAGCAAAAGCCGCCGACCAGCATTCTCCAACTCACTCTGTCCTGGGCCTTCTTTTCTAGCTGCATCCAATTCTTCATTTTCCTCATGTCTATCTCCATTTCCCGGCGTAATGTGTTCTTTGGTCTTCCTCTTTTCCTTTGGCCTTGAGAATTCCATGTGAGGGCTTGTCTTGTGACGCAGTTGGGTGCTTTCTTAAATGTGTGTCCTATCCACTTCCAGCGCTTTTTCCCCATTTCTTCCTTCGCTGAGATCTGGTTTGTTCTCTCCCACAGTAGGTTGTTGCTAATAGTGTCCGGCCAACGGATCCGAAGTATTTTGCGTAGACAACTGTTAATAAACCCCTGTATCTCCTGGATGATGGATTTCGTAGTTCTCCAGGTTTCTGCCCCATACAGTAGAGCTGTCTTGACATTTGTATTGAAAATCCTTACCTTGACGTTGGTAGACAGTTGCTTTAAGTTCCAGATGTTCCTCAGTTGTAAATATGCTGCTCTTGCTTTACCGATCCGTGCCTTCATATCTGCATCTGATCCACCGTGTTCATCAATTATGCTGCCCAAATATGTAAAGCTTTTTACATCTTCCAAATCGTCTCCGTCAAGTTTGATTCGACTAGTGCATGCTGTGTTGTGTCGAAGAATCTTGCCTTTCCCTTTGTGTATGTTGAGACCTACTGCTGCTGAGGCTGCTGCTAAACTGGTCGTCTTCTCCTACATTTGTTGTTGCGTTTGAGATAGAAGGGCCAGATCATCTGCAAAGTCTAGATCGTCCAACTGAGTCCTAGATGTCTACTGTATCCCGTGCTTCCCTTCAGATGTTGATGCCTTCACGAACCAGTCGATCATCAGGAGAAAGAGAAAGGGTGAGAGTAAGCAACCTTGCCTGACACCGGTCATTACTTCGAACGACTTTGTCAACTGTCCTCCATGCACGATTTTGCAGTGTAATCCATTATATGAATTCTGTATGATATTGACTATCTTCTGAGTGTCGAAGAAGCTTCCATAGTGTTGTTCTGTCCACGTTATCAAACGCCTTTTCGTAGTCAATGAAGCTGATGACTATATATAGGATTGTTAATAACTGTCATCAGGGAAATCATTCTTATTTCAGCTTATCTGGATTTATACGTTATGTATGTCTACTGGGGATTTGAAAAAAATTGTCTTTAAGTAATTCTGATTTACTAAACTTTTAGATAGTTTACAAGTATTATTTTTCAATTAGATCTTCATATTCATCTTTAAGATAGGCGGTTATGAATTTGTCAGATCTAATACATATTAACATCAAGAAATAGGTATGTTTTTGTTATTCTGTAAGCTGCCAATATTGATAAGAAATATCGGCGAGACTATCATTTATGGACGAACCAATCATATTGAATTTTGGCACGAAATTCATTCATTTGGCTAAATAGAGTTTTGGCATTAAAGCTGATGTCAATTCGTTATGAAAACCCTATATCTGATTCCTAACCATAACTATCAACTGTATATATTAATCCTAATTCCTCACACTGATTTATAACGCTCATTTAGCCGTAGTACGTAGGTGAACATTCTCAAGGTCTCTTTAGCTTCGCTCAAAGATCGTCCATAAATTATAGTCTCACCGAAATATCTCTTTTTGGTCAGTCCGTAATCTAAATGATAATTCATGATTTATGATCAGAAAAAACATTTACTGTATCTCTCCGCACAAAACACTTATTTCAATATAAACACACAAAAATACACATTTGGACTAAAAAGTAATCTTCCAGCTTACTCTCTAATTGAGGTTGTTTAATGTTCTCGTGTGTAGGTCCTGTACCGAGTTTTGGTATTGCGACAGTGACAATAACTCCTGCACTCGTTCCAGCCCACAATAAATCTTTGCATACTGTTAAACAAGTAATTCTTAGACAAGCTTCTTTATGTCTCATGATAATTTCATCACAATCTAATAAAATGTAAGCAATTTGTGTTTACGGAGTTTAGAGTGGAAACATAAAATTTGAATTAGGAGTTAATAAGTTGAAATAAACTGTTGGATACTTATCATCCACAAGGAAGTAAAGCAAAATAACTTTTAATCAGGTTGAAGTGAAGAGCTTTATAGCAACTTAGTGATATAGGGAAGTTCGTAGAATGTGTTATATGGTTAGTATAAAGCACCTAGTTTTTAGTTTACCACAACCTGAACTTACTTTCAACATTAGTTATCATCACTTTATGGATGATGTAATTTGTCAGTTTAAGTTGACTTAGTCATGAAATATAGGCGAGTTGGTTTCGCTTCATCAGTTTCAGTCAGAGAATCAGTGTCATCACTTGATGTTTCATTCGGTTATGTAAAGCTACCTTTAAACATCCTTCTAAATATTTAACCATAGTAGGTCACAAGAAGACATGATCGAGGTCCTGAATACACTGAGACTCCTTCTGATAACTGAACCAAAAAGATGAATAAGTTCAGTGAAATAAGGTGATTTTAGCTAAGGACAGGCACATTGTAGAAAATGTCGGAATGCTTATATGAAATTAATGTTGGTGCTACTCATGAACATTTAAAATACCCTAAGCCCATTTAAACATTATTGCACAACTAAAGTGTTTTTTCCTGTCAACATGAATATATATTGCTGGAGTTAAACCATATCTGGTATGAGGCAGTCGCACTACATTGACATTGAAAAATGAGTGGTGACTATCACGGATTGATTGGTAATAGGCATTTAGACCATTGGATATTTCCTTATTTGTTTAAAGGTTGAGCATTCAGCTCGAGACCAAAGGGTCTTGGATTTGATCCCTGATGATTTAGTAGATGTATATCACCGGAAAGTCCTATACACAGATGAAATAGCTATTCAAAACTCTCTTTTTTAATGTTTGTCTGGATGAGATCAGCCCATTATGTTCACTAAAATGTATGGTGAATTCTAGTGCATGTTATAAAGGCTTACAATGATTTTACAAAACAATTACTAATGTCCGTTTTGCATGGAACTAATGCTGTGGATCCTCATTTTGGATTTAGCTCATCACTAAAGCGTTGTTACTAGTCAAAGAATGCGATCTTCATCGCTATTGAAACAAACTTAATTAAAGTTGGTACTAAGTAAATATAACCAGTTCAATATGTGTAACTGAACATAATTTCTATTCTGAAATAGGTACACAAATTTCTCTTTTAATATACTGGCTATCACAAGATAAGAATACTTTAGGGTTACATTAGAAATTTGTCGATCCAATGTTGATAAATCTACCAATCAATTTAGATAAAATTCAATGTCTTGTTCACTAAAGATATTCCTTGATTACGACTTCTCACCTGCTAGAAAAATATTATGTCAAATTATGACAATGAAAAGTTCTGGAAAGTATCTCAACCTGAAGAGACTCTAATATTCACTCATTAAAATGGAATGATAAGTAAAATACAAAATGGGATTATATTTCAAAGGTGATAGTATTTAAATGAACTCCAAGATCTATCTCTCTTGAAATATAAGTTAATTGAGGTTTCTGAAAGTTACAAGATTTGATGTCGAATTTTGTTATATAAAGAAATCAGATACTATTTCAATTAGAATAATCACTGCAATGGAGAATTTAACGCGTTTATTCGAGTTAGAAAGTATTCGCTGCGCTACAAAGCAGGTGTATTTTGCTAACATTGGAATTTATGAATCATGTTAACTTCTATTAGCATCGAGTTAGGTGGATATACATCTGTATACCAGTATCAATGTTCGCAATGGGCCTAGAACCTAGCACCTGTCGATATAAAGGTTGATAGCTTCAAAGTCTAAATAACCACCAGTTTGTTCAAGAAGTAGTCCTGAATATCAACAACGAGCTAATTCAATCCCTTCATGATAATGTTATAAATATCATGCACATTAAACAAATGGATAATTATTTAAACTCAGTAGCTGAGTGTATAACACGTTGGTGTTTGAAGCAAAATGTAGTGGTGTTGAGTCTCACTGTGACGTACAACACTGGGTTCCAGGTAAGTTCATCATACCATCAGCAACAAACTACTGTGGGAGAGAACAAACCAGCTTCTAAATGAAGAGGAAATTAGGAAAAGACGATGGAAGTGGATAGGACATACATTCCAAAAATCAGGAAACAAGCGCTAACTTGGAATCCTGAAGTTAAACGGAAAAGAGGAAGACCAAGGAACACACTGCGTCGAGAATTAGAAGCAGAAATCAATCTAATGAATAGCAACTGGAAAAGACTGTTTAACCCAAAGTTGGATGGAGAATTCTGGTGGTCAGCCTATGCTCCTCCATGAGGGGTAACAGGTGTAGGTCAGTAAGTAAGTAAGTAACTTCAAGTGAATTCTTTCAATTTATACAACGAAACATTTGATTTCCACTTAATGCTAGACTACAAAAAGTAATGAAAACAACTAAAAAGTACACTATCATATCTATGCACGCATGTCGATATGACATTTGAGAAAATAACATGGAATGCTTTTTTCCTTTTTGGTAGTTGATCCCTTTTGTGTGATCTTTTTGCCACACTTCAAAAAAAAAGAAACAATAAAGGCATTGATAGCATAAATCTCACCTTGTAACCTTTGAAGTACAATAGGCTTTAAATCAATCTCCATTAGAAATTCACCTGTTGTAGCATGATATAAACTAATACGTGAACTATTTTCTGTTGCTAACCATACAGTCTGTTTTCCATAAGCCATCAATTGGATTCCACGTGGATCTGCATAATTACCATTCAGTGGGAACGAAAGCTAATGTATTTTTGTCAATAAGAACAAAATAAAAGCTTGCAAGTAAAATAAATCAATAATAAATTGACTGAAAGATAAATATAAAGCAATACATTCCGAACAATCTCAAAATATACCTTAAGATACACAGTATGTATGTATGTATGAATAAAGAGTGCTGGTGGACAACCTATGCTCCTCCACGAGGAGTAACAGACGTAAGGAAGAAGAAGGAAGAAGTATGTATCTATTGGTCATAGTTAACAGTTGAACAGAAACATTTATCACAGTACCGTATGTATGTTCGTGATATTCAGGCTTCTTATACTGAAGTTGCAATGATAACTGGTCAGTATTGTACAGACATATTTATGTAATAAATTTGAATATGTTCACAATATGAATATTGAGATAGTGGGGATTTTAACACCATGTACATGTCTGTCAAAAATTTATTTATTAATAAATCAGCTGTACTGAGAGGTGGTGGAAAAGATTTGTAACTCAGGTGAATGATTTGGATGGAGTTTTGTTCTCTGAGCTGGACGCTTTGGTCGTGGAGCTTTAATCGTTGACCTTAAACCTGTCATTGTTTACTTCTTTATTTTGGTTGTACCTCCTATTGGTTTGATTTTTGGTCCTGTGTTTGTCCATAATTTTTCTGATCAGTTGGTAAACTGGATTGATTTTAATTTGCTTGTTGACTGATGATTGACCTGAGTGCCAAGCTTCTAAAAACTCTCTGGTGTTCCATCCATGACCTCTACATTTTCCCAGTCGAATGTGTGTCTGCAGTTGTCTACATGTATTGATATAAATGTGGACATGTCATGGCGTTTGACCACTAATTGATGTTCATGCAGGCGAATATGAAGAGGGCGTCCGCTTTGTCTGATGTAGTGTTTTTCTCAGTTGACAGAATTTATTTTGTAGATGACGTTCGGTTATTTTTCTTTTGTCATTTCGTCCTTTGGTTTGCATAGGATTGATTGTAGTGACTTTTTTGGTTTGTGTGCTACACCTATTCCGAAAGACTTCAACAATCTCGTTGTGGTTTCTGATATGTAGAAGTAACAAGAACTAATCAACATCGAGGTCTACATGATAAGCTATGAGCCACATACGGAAAAATCTAAACACTTCACTTCTAATTGAAGTTTGTGCTGATGATGTCGTTCAGAAGAACGATGAAAGTTCCATGACCAAAGCATTCAGCTCAGATAACAAAACTCCATCAAAATTTACTGACACATCCTATTCAAATGATTACTTTATCAGTAATTGAAACATATACTAAATATTGAATAAAAACACCAGCGAATGAACAAATTGACTAACTTCTGAAGTAAGTGTTGCTGGATTTAAAATAAATATTGAACGATGCGCTGCACACCATATTTTACCGGCAACAACTAACATACGTTTTACAATAACTGGTTCATTAGAATTAGGCTGTAATTTCACATGTATCGGTTTATCAACGTCCCATAAACCATCTGATTGATAGTTTGAAGAGCAGAAAATATAAAAGAAAAGAAAATTGTTACTAAGTAATATATACTCAAAATAATTGATCAAAAGAATATAATCTATAAAATAGCCAATGATCCTTAGTTAAATCTGAAACATGATCAATATTTACTAGTATTGTGGTTCTATTCATTTAGGCGTTATTACAAAGTATACAATATAACCAAACAATCAGTATGGTAAGTTTTTGATTGAAATTATGAATTGATTGATGTTAGACCACCGTTGAAAACCTGGAAGCACTGGACAGTGGTTTTGTCGTAGTATGAGACATTGGATGTCGGCTTAGTAGTCTAGAGGTTAAGCGTTTACGCGCGAGACCGAAGGTCCCAAGTTCGAATCCCATGAGCGGGATCGTGGGTACGCACTGCTGAGAATAACCAAACTAGCTCTCAATACTGGGACAAATGACTTTGACTATTACTAACTGAAATTGAAAACATAGGGTTTTTCAGTCCTCTGTGATATTTTTAATTTCGACCATTTCTAAAACATGCAGTGTCAAATAATCTCACCGAACATTTGATCAATTTATGTGTTGAAGCTGTAATTCTGAATGTGATTATTTATAAAGATTTCGGTTTGGATTTACGAAAACGGTCAGTTTAAATTAAGACTGATAAAAAGATGTATGTTATAGTGTTCAATGAACGACATGCAGGATTCAAATCCGCCATCAATTATTGTGAAGTGATTTTTTGCCACGTTGAATATCCCTCACATTATATGAATCTTCTAGACAGCTGGCTGTTCTTTATTTTAAATCCTCTTATCAGGAACTTCGCTTTAATAAATTAGTGTTTGTAAGTTGTCAACACTATGTCACATTATTCAAATCAATTCAGATTATTTTCTACTCAGTCCACATTCTTACAAACAATTTACTTCTACATTACCATTTACTTTCGAGTAATCAGAAATCACTGAAAAAAACAGCCTGATACACGTAAATTACTAACCTAATCAGTCGTACATAAAAACGTTGACGTCGAGACTACAATTTTTGTATGAACCGATCAGATTTACGACAACAGGTTTCGGATTTTGGCGCGAAATTCACTCGTCCATTTGGCTAGATAGAGTTTTGGCATTCTAGTTAGTGTGAATTGGTGATGAAGATCCCAAATCTAACTCCTAACCCTAACCATCAACTGTAAACTATAGTCCTTATTCTATACACTGATTTAAAACCCTAGTCTGTAGGTGGGTATTCTCAAGGTCATTTTAGCGTCGCTCAATGGTCGTCCATAAATTACAATCTCATCATTTTGATTTATGAAAAATTGAAAAACAGTTAAGAATTCGAAGATCTAGCTGATGAATGACATACCTGAGTTACGTTTGTACACAATAAGATCACCGTTTGCACAAGCAACAAATATATGCACATCGAAATGCAATATATTATTGATTCCATGGGATAAACTGAGTTTCTGACGTTGTCTACTTGTCTTTAGATTATCAGTTGCGTAAAACATAAAAATACTATAAAAAGAGAATACGAAAAGAGAATCACTGCATTGACAAGGAAACATTTCTGATACTAAATAAATTTTTGACCCTTCTCATTACTATTGAACAGATGGAGGACATTGATGGGGATCTCTGAATAGAATTTTCATGTCATGCGGCCTAACCATTTCGGTGAAATCGATATATGGAAACTTTTAAGTATCTGAGATTACTTGAATATAATTACTTTAACAATTCATTATAAAAGGGTTTTTGTGGATATTATAGTAATTTAAATGGTTGAGGTCATGAGTCAATTGAAGCTAGACCACCACGGAAAACCTGGAAGCACTGAGATGGTAACCGACTGAAGACAGATTAGTTGAAGTTAGACATTAACACCGTTGGATACTGGCCAGATCAGTGGTCTAGAGGTTAAGCGTTCACGCGCGAGACTCATAGATTCTGGATTCGAATCTCTTGACGTGGGATCATGGATGCGCTTTGCTGAGGAGACCCACAATAGGACAAAACGGCCATCCAGTGCTTCCAAGTTTTCCATGATGATCTAGCATCAAATTGACTCATGATACCAACCATTGAAATTCATTATCATAGTATGGATACAACAACGTTTTACATTATGCAACGTATCATACATGTTTCAACCAACATTTTGTTAATTCTGTACTGTTTTCTTTTGTAAAATGTGAAAATTTACACAGTATAACCTTTTGTAATTCAACCAGAATGTCTGTTGTGAACTGTTTAACTAATTTTAATACAGACTTTAATGTTCTTTTTTTCTTTCCAGAATAAACATCTTACTTAATTTAAAGAAAGCGGTTGGATCAATCATTTAGTTCGGAGAAAAATGTCTGGTACAAATACAATAACACATAAGCGCAGTATTTTGTTTGCTTATATTATTATTATTTTTATTATTTAAACACATAAACATTGGTACAAGAAAGCACCAAACAGATATGTGCAACATAACTCATTTGATTTGTGTAAGAGCTGGAATACTGCCCGCGTTCCTAAACCGAGGCAGGTGGTTTTCTTAGGGGGCCACACCCGGAGCTTTCGACCTAAAGGTCTGATCCACAAGATAGTGGAGCGACGTAAGGAGATGTAGTCCCATGGTAGCCGGTGACCAATGATTGGTTCACATGTCGTTTGTATCCTTAAAATCATGGAACAAGTGAAATTTAAACTTCATCATCCTCAAAAAAAGATAAATAATTTACATTATTTTTGATTACTTAAGGCAAGATTCTATAAGTGAACAAAATTCATCATTGTGATAGTTAGATTTAACGACAAAACATTTTTAATCAGTCCTTATAGATAACAACTAAAGATGATTATTAACATGTGACCAACAACTGATAGAAAACTTCTTCAATATGTATAACATTAATCAGCCTTTGGTATTTACACAGTTGCTTAATTAACTATTTTTCATCGTAAGAAATTCAGAAACCAAGTGTTCCTCATCATAATTTGCACTGTACTAATTCAGCTTCATTTATACTGCTATATTTTCCTTAGTTTTTGTTAACTTTAACCCCATCTTTCCTTATCAATTCTATTTTCAAATTTCATAAAATTCAGTTATTTCATTCACTCTAGTATTATAAGAGGTTTATAGAGATTCGCAGACTTTGGTAGTTAAGTAACCACTTAAAATTAGGAAGCACTAGACGGCCGTTTCGTCCTAGTATGGAATGCCTCAGCAACGCACATTCACGATCATGTGCTTACGAGTGACTGGCTTTAAGATGGATTTCCCGGAGTTCCAGTGTGAAGCCGTGACCAGTAGAGTCCAATCATTGTCGAGTGGAGATAAGTATCTACGTCAGACAATAAATGAACGGTTGAGCAAGATCACGAATAGATTGAAGTTGGATACCGGCTCAGTGGTTAAGCGTTCGTATGCGAAACTGACAGTCCGGAGTTCGGATCACGCATGAGGAATCGTAGATGCGCAACTCTGAGCAGTCCCATACTGAAGCGATGGTCTAGCTTACGTCGACTTATGAACCCAACTATTAAAATCACTACAATCTCCAAAAAACTCCATTCTAAGGAAATGTATTACACAAATTTAACTTATAATCCATGAGCATGAAAGTTGTTGATAATGCTCAACTACTTATTTCTGAAATACACTTGAATAGCATTTTCATGCAATTAGTTCTCTTGTTGATTCTAACACCAAGTAACCTCTGACCCGTTCTTGTATATATATATATATATATATATATATTTAAAAAAAGAGTTAAGCAAAAAGAATGGATTAACACAGTAGTGATCCCATATCTTAAAGGTAACTCAAAAGACATCAGAAGAAGTTGAACTCGTCAAAATATAAGAGTATTCTTTCGAACAAGCAATACTCTAAGATCAAAACTAGTAAGAATCAAAGATGCAATTCACAAGGAAGAACAACAGAATTGTGTTTATGAAATCAAGTGTAATGACTGTAATGCAACGTATGTAGGTGAAACATCAAGGCAACTGAATGTGAGGGTGAAGGAACACAAACTGTGCTTAAAGTACATTCCTAAATCCTCAATTGATGTAAAAAAGCTTCAGAATAGATCAGCGATAGCATTATCCTCGATTGAATCGGGTCATACAGTTGATCTCAATGGCACGAGAATCATTCAAAAAGGATTTAATTCTTACAAAGAACAACTAACAGCCGAAGCCCTACATATATGGGCTAATTCAAACAGTATTAATAGGAGAGATGGAATACAACTAGCTGTCCCATGGCAATTAATAATTAAAAAGTAAACCTGAACTCCTTATTCCAATTCGATATATCTATGTCATAGTAACTAATGTGTAGATAATACATTCAACGATTCAAATCAGTTAGCTTGTCTTAATATGTTAAACAATTGACTGGAACATTAAAAATAACACAAACGTTCAATTACACATACATTCCGCTTTGAATTCAGTCTTTTATTTTATTTTGTTTACTTATTTATTTATCTTCATTTAATGCAGGCTGTGGCATTTTTGATTCATTTCTTAATATACACAGACCAAAGTCAATATTTAGTTGATTGAAATTTCTTCTCACATCACTTATGTATACACACATTCTGTTATCTTGACACTGTCATTTACCTTGTAATCCTTAAGCCATTCTATAGCCTAGAATAACAAGACAATTTCTTATTCTTTCTCTACCCTTGATTATTTTTTAATTGAACTTGGTTGACCTTTATTAATTTTCATATAAACATGTCTCTTATACATTAATGCAAATATCTATTTAAAAAAAAAATCTTTCACGTTGATTGGATGACGTATTCAGAATACAGTAAACCAGAGAACCATCGTACCTATTTATATTCGATAATTTTGTTGTTTGATTATATTTTCCTTGAAAAAGCTTGAAAGAGATTGCCAGGCGAAACGTTGGATTTACTTCAAGTTCTTTCGCTGAGATTTTACAAATACATTCTTCTTCATTAATGTCTCACATTAACTCGGCGCCCAAATATTGTGAAACTATTCGTTCAAATTTAGATGAAAGTTGTTATATATATATATATATATATATATATATATATATGAGATGGTGGAGAAGATTTGTAGCTCAGGTGGATGATTTTGGCGGAGTTTTGTTCTTTGAGCTGGATGGTTTGGTCGTGGAGCTTTCATCGTTCTTCTGAACGACATCATCAGCACAAACTTCAGATAGAAGTTTGTGCTGATGATGTATATATATATATATATATATATATATATATATATAGAGAGAGAGAGAGAGAGAGAGTAACCAGCAGCTATGTAACTCAAACGAGAGTAATTACATTATCTTTTGTCACAAAAAGATTTTTCTAGAATTCCATTCATTTACTTAAATAAAGAAAGCGCTGATAAACGTGAAGCTCAGATCTTATGTAAATTTTTATCATTTTACTATAAATCCAAAACATACATATAAACTTTCAATGGTTGAGATCATGAGTCAATTTGATGCTAGATAATCATGGAAAACTTGGAAGCACTGGATGGCCGTTTTGTCCTATTGTGGGTCTCCTCATCGAAGCGCATCCATGATCCTACCTCAAGAGATTCGAATCCAAAATCTATGAGTCTCGCGCGTGAACGCTTAACCTCTAGACCACTGTTCTGGCCAGTAACCAATGTTGTTAATGACTAAGCTCAATCAATCCACGAAATTGAGCTACATATCCACATCCATTTCTAAAATCATATAATCTCTTTTTTTTCGAAAGTAATAAGTAGATTATAAATATAATGTATTATATAATAGTTATTAAATATTAAAACATACCTTCCTTCTTCTGTACCCAACCACATCAATGGTTGTGTTGAATTAGTGAGACAATGGTTTTTACCATGTGAATTTGAATATTCATCTTAATATTAAAACAAAAGAAAAAGAAATATATATATATATATATGTTATATCCCGATGAGAATAATGAATGGTAATTTTTGCGATCCATTTATGGACCAATACTATGAGCATATTTTTATTGTATAACTGTTAGGTAACTAAACTATACATATTCGTGTCCCCCTTATCATGAGTTTTATTTTAACCTATGAACTATTATTATACGATTTACCATTCTTGAACTATTCCTTGTCTGTTAATCACTACCTCCCTCATTCACAGCCACTTTTGGCTAATTCTTGTACAAATGTTGTTTGTGTTTGATTGGTATATAAACCTAGTATGTTTGAAATATAATGATTCATATTGCAGAGGCTGAGATCGGTGTTCTGAACTTAACTGGCTGGGCTAAACAGGAAGCGAGATCAATCAAGGCTCTAGGCTGCTCACACGTATTTTATGCGTCACTGGTTTGATCGATCATTCACTTCTCTCTGATTGGCGGTATTGTTGCGTTATACAATAACAGGGAACGCAGGTTCACAAGTTATAACAATATACATATAAGAAGTGAAAGAAAAAGAATGGGAATTAATCATAGGAACAATTTGTTCAAGGCCACATAGTGATTTCTTTTTTTTTTTAATGGAAAACAATCAAAGAAAATCATTAACCTATAAATCATGAATATATGAAACTATTTTGGAAATAAAAGAGAAAAAAAATAAAAGAAATAATTACTTGTCTACTTAAATGTCATGTATGTATGTATCTATGTGTATATTCATTAAGAGAGTAATCAATTCATTATAGAAAGGAGGCTTTATATAAATGACTGTTTAATTGTTTCATTTGTCATACTATTAGATATAGTTAAGATAGACATATATCTATAAAAACATAATAAGGAAATGAAGACTTATAATGAGGTCAGAATATTAAAGAATGTGAAGAATAATTTGTGGTAACTAACTTTTCAACATCTTGTATAGATCAATCTAAACAATGCTTGTTTCTTCTTTGATCATATAAAGGTTTTTACTATGCTATATATAGATGTATGGTCTAATAGACATATTTCTGTTATATCCTGACAACAATTATAGAATGGTAATTTTTGGGAACTATTTACGGACCAATACGATATATATATTTTTACTGTATAACTGTTAAGTAGCTAACCTATGGATATTCATCTTCCTCTTATTATAAGCTTTATTTTACCCAATAGATTATTATTATTATGCGATATACCGTTCTTGAGTTATGTCTACATCGATAGCCGCTTTTGGTTTGATGTTGTACAAATGTTCTTTCCTATTTTATGGTACGAAGTGGTCTGTCTGGTTGGTATATAAACCCTGTATGTTTGAGTTAAATGATTCATATCTCAGAGGCTGAGATTGGTTTCTGGACTTAACTGACTGGGCTTGGCAGGAAGTAGGAGCGATAAATATTCTAGACTACTCGTAAGGGTTTACGCGTCATTGGTCCGATCGATAATTCACTGCTCTCTAATTGGCGGCACCGTTACGTTATACATTAACAAGGCACACAGGTCACACGTTAGAACAATTTGCCGGCTTTATCTTTTGTATTTCACTTTAAACCAGTCAGTTTTGTTTAGTAATAATCAAAAAGCTTAAATAACTTATTCATTATAGTTTACCATTGTTTTTCAAATTATAAAAAGAAGTTTACGGTGTATCAAGAGAACCCATAATAATTTATAAAGATTTTAATCTCTGTACTGTAATGAACCAGAACACAAGTGAGGACAATCAAATGCAATCGAATACAAAATTACAGAACATCTTAGTGAAATGAGGAAACCATATAGTAAATACTTCATTTACAAAATGTAAATCGATTGTCTCAAAATTGACTGTTCCTTTAGCAAATGTCAATCAATCATCTCAGACTTCAGTGTTCCTTCATTTCAACAGTAATCATTCTTTATTATCGTTCTCTTTTCTTTGCTCTTCTTAACCTTCTGCTTCCAGATATTTCACTTTCGATTGATGATATATACTACTTATATCTATCGATGTCAGTAGCATACACAACAATGTTACCATGTGCTGTATTCGCACGAACAGAAATTTACATATTTATCACACTACTTAAATAAATATAAAGTTTGATTTTGTGAATATACATACATGATTGTCTACTTGGTAGTACAAGTTACAGTTATTTGTATAAAAGAAAAATAAATGACAATAAAAATTGATCGCTTGTTCATGAAAAGTTCTAAAGTACTTTATCTTCCATAAATAAAAATCGATTTGTAATGTAACCTTACCTGTCTTGCCATCGTATTCACAAGATGATTGTATATTCTGTTCAGATTCTTTGAATAATGAGTTATCTGATAAATTCTCTGAAATTATTTGTTGTGTTAAATCACCTTCTGTTTCACTAATGTCAGAAGAATCTGAATCATTCGATGTAGGATCGTCTTGATCATCAGTATATTCAGCATAAATATCTAAACTAATCTCTTGTTGTGGTTCGTTTTTAATCTTTTCAGACGAATTGGATTTTTCACAGTGTGCTTGAGTAATCAACTCATGACTTTGTTGCACGTTAATTTCACTAGATTCTTGAGCAATATCACATTTCTTAGGTAGATTTAAAATATCATCACCTTTAGATTCATCTCCATCTGAGAGTTTCAATGTAGATTCTGTATTGGTTGGTGTATCAGGTGGAGTAGTTGAATGAGAACTTGTGCTTGTGTCTTGTAGAATGCTACTTTTCCTACATCTTACATCATCATCTAATGTAGTTCCAGCATTTTTGTTTGCATCATTGTTTGTATTTGATTCTATTTTATCCACAACCTTTGAATCAACCACTTTCTCATTTGTAATCATCCGAGATTCTTTTTCTGACAATGCTGCAGACAGTTTTTGTTGACGATTATTTTCTTCTGTTACCTGTTGTTCTACTTCTAAAAGTGGCTGATCCATAGTGGCTGAACGTTTCTTTTCCATTCCATATCTCGACCGAATACTTTGAACTCCTAGACTGTGGGATGTTCTAAAGTTTAAATATAGTGTAATAAAAATGTTATGAAACACATTAAAAGTTTATGTAAATAATCCGGAAAATTCTATTTATGTCTATCCTGCATCCATATATCCTATCACAAATAACTGTCTAAACAAGTAGTAAGTATTGTTTTAATAACGAAAAAAGTTAATCTTTATATTTCTCATATATGCTCAGTTAATCCTATTACTATTGCCCCCAAATGCTCTGGTACGGCCAAGAGTGAGGAGAGTCAACTCTCCCTCTCGAAATGTTCTCACATGGCCACGTGCATACAACCACTGAAAAGGAAGTCATACTTACTGCCTTCTCACGACATAACTGTTGTTTGACAACAGTGACAGATAAAATGTAATTCTCAATATCAATATCTGGGAAATACAAAATACTACTAAGAATAATTTATCTATACTTATTATAAAGAAATATTATATTAAATCAAACCCTTTAGTGTTTTTAGTAGTTCGGGCTCTGACTCTAATTAGATTATATGTTGATTACTATTGAATGATTACTATCGAAATATAGATATCGCCTATTCTCGTCTATAATCATCGACTTAAATCGCGTTGATGAATAACAGAATCAAATAAGTCAATAACGTGAATGGAATTTTGAATAAGTATATTTTGTACAATCATTGATAGAAACAGACAATCAGAGGAACGAAGCGAAATGACGCGCAGTGGAGAAGTCGTGTGAGCCAATTCTATTTAATCAACCGTTAATCAATATTTATGGTCACAAGAAAATAGGCTACAAACATGTGGTGAGTAGGATAAGATGTACACACACATACGCTCATATAAAAACAGTCAGGGTTGATAAGTCAGTAATTAAAAAAGTCAAAATGTAACTCAAGAAGAATGGATAAATTGGCATGTTCAAAAGCTAGAATAAGATATATGGGCTTAACATAATGGCCGACACTACAGTTTAATGTTTCTACTGTTTACTGAAGTAAACAATATATGATCAGCGTGTACTTTTTATTCATAACTGTTTAAGAAGTTCATAAAGTTGGGCCATTTGAGCAGTTTGACAACTTAATAATTATATTTGTTCCAAGCAATAACAACCCGGTTAATCCGTTTTGGTGGTTACATATCTTAAAAACAACATTAATGATAAATTTAACATCTAGGTTATTATTTTTTGTAACTTGGGTTCAAATTAAGAAATAAATAAAGATGGATGACAATCAGCAACAGAATCTAGCACACATGTTTCGTCCTAATTGGGACTCATCCGGTAGCCGGATGCATCTACATCCTAGAATTCATGTTCACTCCTAAACTCGAGTCCGGTATAGTTAGCTTCAAACGTCATCAAATTATTCATTTACCTACTGAATCTTGTTAGCTAATAGCTTTCAATTTATTTAATAACAATTCTGAATAAATTCTATTACTACTATGATGTAGTTCACTTAGTATTGTTTTACTTGAATATTCCCATTGATGTTTTAGGACTGAAATTGATCAGTCTCTTATTGGCACATGTGCATACTGTGCGTATGCCTCGATATTGCCTTAATTTACAAGCATTATAAGCAAAACATCAATTGGAAGATTCAAGTGAAACAATACCAAGTGAATTAAACTTCACTCCATTGCACAAACAAGTGGCTATCAGGACTCAGTAGGTAAGTCGATAACGCGATGGCATTTGAAGCGAATGGTACTGAGTTCGAGTCCCAGAGTGAACATCGACCCTCAGATTCAGGTACATCCAGCTGACGAGTCCCAAACGGGACGAAACGCGCGTCCTGGATTCCACTGCTAGCCACTATCCATCTTTGCTTATTATGATGTAGTTTTATCAAAATGTTTACTTGATTAGAATTTTTATAATATTCTGTTCTATTTTTCTCCATCCCATTTATTCACTGTCATAACAAAGTGGCATATGGGGTAACAAAATACATAATTTACTTTCATTCTATTATTTATAACTTTGGGATTAAATAGAAACTGTCAGATGACTGAATTAACATGTACATAGGGAAATATTCATTAAATGTTTGTGCCATGTAAAAATATTGACATAACCAAACAACAATAATAATCTAGTAGAGGAATTTTTTTGGAGTATGGTTTAATTCGTGGTTTGCATTCATTAAAATCTGATCTCAGCTAAAGCTCTATTGAAATCCAGAGAGCATTAGACAGTTGTTTATATCTAATATGTGGCTCGTCGGGTTTGTTGATCTGTAATGGCATTTGACCATAACTATGCAATCCTCAAAGCTGAACACGAGACTACTCGGAAAATAGACATTCAATATTTAACGCGGAGAAATACCTTACGATGGAAAAGGCGGAAACAATGAGTTGAATTAATTGGAGTTGGTCGAATTTCATGGCTCGGCCATGCAGGCGTGGTTCCTGTTGAATGTTACCTTATATCTTTTATTCATATTAAATATATTGTTATGTCTCCAGACTAAGCTTGTTCTACATCATACATTGGGGATTGTAACTATACGATGGGTTGGCGTAGACGATGGTATGACTTCTACGTAAGATCCTATAGATTAGGCAGTTGTATCATGACAAATCTACAATTTTAGGATTAGGTCTATTATTAGAGCAGTACTAATATAGTAGACCATAATTCTGCAGACCTATTAGTGATTTATTTCGAGATGTTACTGAAGTTCTAGTGAGAAGTTTGACTCAAATACATCGAACATTTCAGGAGTGAGGCATTTTTCACCACTGATATCAAATGGTAATAAAGTTGCATTCCAAGTTGAATGAAATTAAAATAAACTACTTTTCAACAACGTTTAACATGCAATTCGAAGCTCATGTGTTCGATTTCTGGAGGGGTAGTATGTACACACTTTTGAGGACTCTCATGCCAAAATGAAACAGCCATTCTGTTATTCTTTGTTTCCAGTGTTATTTAGAATTAATTTTAGTTCGAAACGACTAATAAAATTGAAGCTAAAGAATCACTGAACACTGGGCAGTGGTTTAATACCGACTCCCTTGAACATACTGACAAACTGAACGAACTTAGGATAGCTTTCAACAACAGGTTCCAAGCCATACGAGATTTAATCAGAGATGAGGGAACTACTATGGAGAACGATTAGAAAAAGAATTAAAAGCACTAACTTCAACATGCTTGGTGTTGTGCCGCAGGAAGTATCGTCATAAAGAATAAAATATCTATCTAAGCTCTGAGTCAGGATTCAAGAAAGGAAACACAAAAAGTCTTTTATCAATGACAGTTGAAAAAGAGCACAGAAAGTCAGTAATATACTGCAGCTAACAGGAGAGTAAAGAGAAGCATTAGAGCCGACAAGCAGAAATAAGTGGAAGATCTAGCAGTGACAGAGGAAAAAGCTGTAAAAGAAGGAAATATTAGACAACTATTTGACGCAACCAAGATACCACTTTAAAGTTTATGTGAATCAACTATATAGTAGGCCAGAGCAGATTACAACTTAATATCTTGAAATACATCAATCGTTTCAAAGTAATATGAAAAGAACAACTCAGAAAATATACAGTAACACTATCAGTTCTGAGAAACAGTTTATGGTTTAATAGGCAAACTAGCACAGTATCTACAGAGATGGAAACTGAAGCTTGTTAAAATGTAATATTCTCAATAAGTATAGAAGTGTAACGTTTTTGTTCACACACACTAACATAGTTATTTCTAGTAATATTTAAATGAATTAGAATAATATAAATGTTTCAGTGAAATGACTATGACTGACCTTCTTAATCCAGGATGAATATAGCCAGGAATAGAGCATATACATGTGATTCGAGATGTACATCCGGACAAAGGAACATTGAAATAGACGTTAGGTTTTGGATGAACTGTCAGTAGACAAACATAACCAGTATAACCATCAGATGCACATATCCATACATCACAAGGTGTTTCAGCCACAATCGGAGATGATTCAATCATAGATGCACATGAAAGCTTAATTAGTTAACAAAATAACAACAGAAAATTTCGTTATTATGAATATCTAATGGAAACTAATAGTTTTGACTGAGGATATAGGCAATCTTTAATAATATTTTGTCTTCTTAGTGTATAATAGTGATATAAACGAACACCCAATAAATCATTCAGTATTATCTGATTTGTTTATGCACAGTTATGAAGTGCAAGTCTGTTTTATTTTCTCAAAATTACCAATTTAAGGTTGACTTATAAACATTTCAAGCTTCGTTTGTCTATAACACTTGTCTAGTCACTTACCAGTTGTACCTAAATTATATCTTCACTTCGATGACATCTTTTTTGAAAATACAAATATTTAACTGAATAAATCTACATAAAAAATGAAGTATAGATCTATGACTTCCTGATATTTAACTATGAATCTCCTCCGCATTGTCTAAATGTTAGCGTCCATTTTCACAAATCATTTATAACTACGTCAGGTGGATGATTTCGATGGTTTTTTTTCTCTGAGCTGGATAGTTTGGTCATGGATCTTTGATCATTCTTCTGAACGACATCATCAGCACAAACTTTAGATAGTTGAGAGTTTTCCTGAATTCATTCAGTTTTTCAGTATGTTCAGGGAAGTCGGTATTAAACCAATGTCCAGTGTTCAGTGATCCTTTAGCTTCAGATAGTTTGTGTTGATGATGTCGTTCAGAAGAACAATGAAAGATCCACGACCAAATCATTTATAACTACATTTTGCGTTGATCAGGTGAAGATTCATTTCATATCAGTCAGAAGCAGTATAAAACACTTATAAATAGGTGTTTGTTTACGTTCACAAATCATACCACAACAGAGAGTTACAAATATCAACGCAACTATCAAAATAATAATGATGATGATAGTGAAAAGATCATACAAGGAAAGTATTGTTTAAAACTAAAAAAACGGATTCAGGGAGTAAAAGTCAAATAGTTTAAAAATCGATATGTAGAGTGGTAGACAAAGATTGAAAAGATCCAGGCCTTGCAAACGATTCTGTATAATGTCAATTAGTTTAAAATCATTAATTAGAATAATTTTAATGACTACAACTATATAGACGAAATTTAGCAAAATGTTTAAAATGTCTAAAAATTCCATTTGTTCAAACAGTTGAGATCATGAGTCAATTGAAGCTAGACAACCATGGAAAACCTGGAAGCACTGGACGGCCGTTTTGTCCTGTTGTGGGACTCCTCAGCAGTGCGTATCCACGACCCCGCCTCGCGGGATCCCAGTCCAGGACCTATCAGTTCCGCGCCAGGCGCTCAACCAACTAGACCACTGAGCCGCGTCAGTTGTGAGGTAGTAATTCACTGATGACAGTGGTGGATGTGTCGCTCAATTTTGTGGATTATTTGAGGTTAGACATTAACACCATTGGATGCCGGCTCAGCGGTCCAGTAGATTAAGCGTTCGCGCACGAGAATGAATGTCCTGGATTCGAATCCCGCGAGCAGGATCGTGGATGCGCACTGCTGATTAGTACCACCATGGGACGAAACGGCCGTCCAGTCCATCCAGGTTTTCCATGGTGTTCTAACATCCATCGGTTCATGATCTCAATCAAAAACTTAACAATCTCCACAACCCCCAAACCGATAAAAATACATTCATTATTAACTCATTATACAATGCTCAATTCATTTAAGGCTGTCAAGTCCAACCTTATTATTGATAATGTGGTTTGTGCTACTTATATCGACATAAGTAGTATATAACGTTAGTCAGGAATAGAATGTAAGGCAGCAGAAAGTCAAGATCATGAAGGTAAGAACAAGAACAGAAATTAGTTGATATTGAAATACAAGAACAATAAAGTCTGTAACGATTGACTGATATTTGCCAAAGGAACAGTCAAATATGAGACAATTCATTAACATTTGATAAATAAAGTATTTACTATATGGTTCTCTCATTTTACTAAGACGTTCTGTAATTTCATGCTTGAATACATCCAATTATCCTCACTGATATTCTCATTCACTACAATACTTATTATCAAGAAATGTTAATTAATTACTAATAATTGCCAACTGTGATCTAATAAACAGTTGTTACAGACTATGGCTTTTTATCTATCTATCTATCTATCTATTTAAAACAGAAACGAGGAGAAAAAAGAAACCCCACTTCATAGATATCTGCTATAGAAACATCAGTACCAAACGTGAACATATTAAAAAAACAAAAAATAAATAAAAGATACATATGTATCCAAGCATATGTATATATATATATATATCAAAAGCTGGTAAAATATGTTTCGTATTTTGCATTTCACCTAAAGACCCAATAACACCTTTCTAATGAATACACATTTTTGGAAGAAGAAGCACATTTTCTTCATCAAATAATAATATCTTAAATAGAAGCATATGGATAGGAACAAGAACGAGAACAACAAGAACAACAACGAAGAAGAAGAAGAAGAAGCCCAACTGAATATACGTAGTATCTACCTTAAATATTTCACAGATTTAATATCATTGATTATCATTATTATGCTAAATGATAAGATTTGCTCCATTTTTTTTTACTATTCTACATAGATTGAAATTGATAAATTGTAGATTAAGTCAAATGTAATATTAACAGAATTCTATATAATATGTACAATGTGTACGTGTATTTTTTGTATTCTCTGTCTGGGCAAATTACACCTGTTGTAAATTTGTTTGTACATATTCTGCTTTTCATCTAAATTCATAGAGAGATTACATTTTGAAGAGGAAGAAGGAGAAGAAGAAGAAGAAGAAGAAGAAGGAGAAGAAGAAGAAGAAGAAAGAGAAGAAGAAGGAGAAGGAGAAGAAGGAGGAAAGGAAAAAACAACGTGAACAATTTGGTCTACTAATATAGTTTAAATGAAAGCAGCTGTTAACTTATAAAGAAATTGTTTAATTAAATAAACTTATGGATATAATTTTGTAAGAAATATTTTCATTTCTTTTATAGAATCTACAGTTTACTAGTCTCAGTATTTAAGAATAGTATCTTTATAGAGGTTTGGTGATATTATGGTGTGTACGATTTATATCTGCATAAGTAGTATATAAACTCCGCTTGGAGTCCCTCCGGGGGCTACTGCTGGTCCCAAGCCCGGATAAAGCAGGAGGGTTGAGCATTTGGTTAGCGACCCCATCCCGTAGAAAATTAACTTGCTAAAAAACGCTAACTGGAAAAAATTATTCAAACCTTTTAAAATCTGCTTTGGCAGTAAGAAGGTCTTCATTTAGAAGAGTTATGACGCCTTATGATGAAAGCCGAGTTCCTTCGGAAGTCACGAGGCTGATGCCTCTTCTGACAACCAGAGCAACCATTTATTTAAGTACATGGAATGTTCGTACAATGTGGGAGACTGGGAGAGTCTTCCAAATTGCTGAGTAGTATATAACGTTAGTCAGGAATAGAATGTTGGACCGTAGAAAATCAAGAAGATCGAGAAGGAAAGAATGGGAACAGAAAGTAATTGGTATAGAAATGTAGGAACAATCAAATTTGAGATAATTAATGGATATTTTGTAAATGAAGTATTTACTGTATGGTTCTTAGATTTTATTAAGAGATTCTATAATTTTGTGTTCAAATACACTCGATTGTCCTCAATTGTGTTCTCGTTCACTACAATATGATCGAGAGAAATTAACGTTTTAGAGTCTTTATCATTGATAACTACTATTGTGATGTGTGCTACTGACGACGACATATATAAGTAGTATGTATCATCAATCGACAATGAAATGTCTAACAGCTGGTTAAAAAGATTTAAGAGAAAAGAACGAGAACAAAGAGCGATCGGTATGGAAATTATGGAACACTGAAGTCTGAGACAACTCATAGATATTTTGTAAATGAAGTATTTACTGTATGGTTCTTAGATTTTACTAAGTAATTCTGTAATCTTATGTTCTCGTTCACTACAATACGATCGAGAGATGTTAACGTTTTAGAGTCTTTATCATTGATAAGTGCTTTGATAACTACTATGGTGATATGTGCTACTGACGTCAATAGATATAAGTAGTGTGTATCATTATTCGTAAATGAAAAGTCTAGCAGCAGAAGGCTAAAATGACTAAAGAGAATAGAACGATAACAAAGAGCGATTGGTATGGAAATCAATGAACAATCAAGTTTGAGACAATTGATTGACATTTTGTAAATGACGTATTCACTGTATGATTTTTATATTTTACCAAGATATTCTGTAATATTATACTTTGTTACTAATCCGAACTCATGGATTAATAAATATCTGTTCAAACACAATTTACCAATATTATACAAATGAATGAATTTAATTATGTTCTTACTCTTTGAACACTAATTTGTATGGTTCTATAAATGTAACTAAAAAAAATCCTTTTCCATATCAACTTCATGACATTTGTCATTAACTTGGTATTGTTTAGCTTATATCTTCCCATTGAGGTTTAAGACTGCAATTGATCAGTCTGTTATTGGCATATGTGCATACTGTGCGGATCGCTTCGATGTTGCCTTAATTCACAAGCTTTTTTTAAGCAATGGTGGATAGTGGCTAGCAGTGGAATCCAGGACGAGCGTTTCGTCCTATTTGGGACTCGCGTCCTGGATTCCACTGCTAGCCACTATCCATCATTGCTTCCAACAGTTTGTCATTAAGTTTGAACATCTCAATCGTTTCAATTCATATCTATTTCAGTTTACGATCCAGTTGAACAAACATACAACTTTGACGTATCCATTTACAGATACGATTACTAGATTATATAATTCCATCAGTTATCTTAATCGTTGTATAATAAATGAGTTTAAGAAATAGATCTACTTATACTGAGTTACTCATTTACTTTTAAGCCTAGAAACTTAGAATAATAGATTTTCATGTCTTATATATGATATCACAATCATATGGGGTTTATATTTCTTTTCAAGATGTATCTGGGTTATCATTAATGGTTTTTTCGAAATGTTATTACCTTACATATGAAGTTGAATTTTCACAAGTGTTTTCGATTGCTTGTTAATAAATTATGAATAAAATATATTTCTTGTATTGTTGAATATTCATAGTCTATGTTCTTAGTTAGACAACTATTAAAAAACAGGAAGCACTGGATAACGGCTTTGTTTTAGTATGGGACTCTCCGGTATTCCATTTTTTCTTCCACTTTGCTCAGCTATTGTCCATCCCAATGGGTAGTTGATTGAAGGTATGTCTCTTACAATTGTTGATAGAACATATTGGCGAAGACACTTGTGAGAAAAATACAGTTGTTCTCGAGTGGAAGCCTGCGTTTTGGCGAAATTCTCCCATTTTCGAACAATAAGAAGAGTACTACGCTTATATGATTTTGAGGTGGTGGAGAAGATTTGTGGCTCAGGTGGATGATTTTGATGGAGTTTTGTTTTATCTGAGCTGGAGAGAATAAAACTCCATCAAAATCTCTCCGGTATTCCCTTTCTTCTGCCCCGTCGGGGATCAGATTCGAGAAATTCACATCTAACTTACTTACTTACGCCTGTTACACCTCGTTAAAAAGAATAGGTCAACCACCAGCATTCTCCATCCAACCCTGTCCTGGGCAATCCTCTCCAGCTCCTTCCAGTTGTTATTCATCCTTTTCATAACTGCTTCTATTTCCCGACGTAATGTGTGGTTTAGCCTTCCACTTTTTCTCCTCCCTTCAGGATTCCAAGTTAGGGCTTGACTTGTGATGCAGTTTGATGATTTCCGTAATGTATGTCCTATCCATTTCCATCGTCTTTTCCTAATTTCTTCTTCAGCTGGAAGCTGATTTGTTCTCTCCCACAAAAGACTGTTGTTGATGGTATCCGGCCAATGGATGTTGAGTATCTTGCGTAGACAGCTATTTATAAATACTTGAACTTTCCTGATTGTGGTTGTTGTAGTTCTCCAAGTTTCAGTTCCATACAGTAGAACTGCCTTGACTTTGGTATTGAAGATTTTCACTTTGATATTGGTTGACATACAGTTGTTTTGAGTTCCATATGTTCTTCAATTGTAGGAATGCGACCCTTCCTTTGCCAGTCCACGCCTTAACGTCTGCATCTGAACCTCCTTGTTTATCGATGATGCTTCCCAGGTATGTGGAGGATTCCACATCTTCCAGAGTCTCGTCATCAAGTGTGATTGGGTTGGTGTTCTCCGTGTTGAATTTGAGGACCTTGGTTTTCCGCTTGTGTATGTTGAGGTCTACTGATGCAGAGACTGCAGCTACACTGGCTGTCTTAATTTGCATTTGTTCATGTGAATGAGATAGGAGGGCTAGGTCATTTGCGAAGTCCAAATTGTCTAATTGGTTCCCAGCTGTCCATTATATGCCGTGTTTTCCCTCAGGTGTCGAGGTCTTCATTGGAGCCGGCCTATTCAGGATTTCTTCAAAGTACTCTACCCATCTGTCCCATTGTTGTTGAATCTCAGTGATTGGCCTGCCCACATGTTACTACAGGCATTTAAACTACAGGTCACTGAATTCACTTTTATTGGTTTACATCTTTTACTTCAATAAATTTGTTATATAACCCGACTATTTCCATTGCCTTTGTGTATAACTTATCGCACTTAATATGGTCATAACTTCTTACAAGAACTATGGGAATTAACTCTAGAAGTTAATTACTAGGGGTTAATAAAAACTGTCGAACATTATATTCTGGATCGTTGCTTGATCTTGATTAGATAAACATTGGTTTGACATAAACATAAACACTATCAGATCTCGGTTCAGTGGTCTAGTATGTAAACGTTAACCGTGAACTAACGGTCCTGTGGTCAATCTATGAGAGAGTCCTTTATACTCAAGTCTAAGACATTTCATACTTGAACGAAGGAGAGACCAAATGCTTCCTAGTTTTTGGAAGGTTGTCTAGCCAAGAACAGTAAGTGAAATAAACTATATTTATTTCGATTCGGCAATCACAGTCATTCACTTATTAAGATATATGTATATATATTTGATTGGTAGTGCTCTACGGATGAAACTTGATGTATCTACATATGTATATATTGGAAATAATATAACAAATGACTCACTTGTATTCCTGGTAATGTACGTGGAATTTGAACAGCCTCATTAAATCGTGCCATTCTTTTAACAGAACCTTAAAAAGTAACAATTAAAATAAAGATACTTAAATCACTTACATGTACATTTTTTAAAAAAAAATCATTTTTACAAATCATCCCCTTTACTCCATTCAGTCAGTTAGTCAGTTACAACGTAGGACCAGGCACATACATGCATCGGTCCAAGTCGTCACACCTCATTGGTACGGAAAAACAATCTAAAAAGGGTATGCTCTTATTTCTGTAGTTTTCAAAAGTTTATATACATTTCAAAACTTATCTTATTATACTATATAACCAAGTTATGTAATTATTATCCACAAACTACTTTCTAAGACATGCTTTCAACGATTCCGATCTAATCTGGTTGATGCGAATCATAGTTATATTCTTTTATTTCAATAATTTGTCATGTTTGACAAATCTATGTAGCAGAATATGCTTACATATATATATATATATACAATTGGACAGCTTTAAGAATGAGATCATCGTAAAGAGATCTCTTCATTAAACTACCGTCTTGTTCAAATGATGTATCTCTAGTAAATGTTATTGAAATATGAAGCGAGTTAACATTCAAAAATAATAAAAAAAGAAAGAAAAACTGCTTTTTCACATGTGAATCAATGTCACAGAGAAATAATATTTCTAGTTTTTTTTCAAAGAAGGATCTTTTTAATGAACTCTAGATAATTTTCTGTATCTTGGATAGATAAATAACAGTTATGATGTTTTTTGCGTTGAATAGATGTACTTACGTACTTACTTACTTACGCCTGTTACTCCCAATGGAGCATAGGCCACCGACCAGCATTCTCTAACTCACCCATACCCAACCCTCCTCCCTTATCCGGGTTTGGGACTGGCCAAAGCTCCAGGGACGGGGGCTCTAGGCGGAGTTTTCAAAAGATAACCATCAACTTAATTTTGATTTACTGTGATTATGTTTCATTTTCTGTATAAGAGCCATATTAAACAAACTTACTTAATTGACGTTTTAATTCGAGTATTGTTCTTTCCCATTCTTTTCGTTTTGCACTATTTGGAAACATTAACTCATAACGTTCAACACCTTCTCTAGATGAAATTGAAAAAAAAAACAGATTTGATTTATCAAGTGGAGAAAAATTGTAAAGAATTAGCTTTGACTGATTATATACATGGTTTCTATGATGAATATTTACGAAAAACTTGAGAAAATGAAAGATAGATCGCTTATCAATTGGTACATATTGTATCTATCATGCATAATAAAAGGAGTTAGACCTGCAAAGATCTGTAGCTCATTCATGAAAATAATTTGCGCTCTCTATATCACGTAGATTAATACATATAGACTGTTATGGACATCAATTCTCGTAGAAAACTTTGAACTCTTGGTCATAAACAACTAGAATAAGTCCAGATAGTTTTCAGAATCTTTAAGTTCAAATTAGTCAGCAGCCATGAGTAAACCAACTTGATGCATACTCAGCTTATCAGTCAATCAAAAAAAAGACATGATGGTCAAGAGATAGGGGAGATGAAAATCAAACTATGTATACAAACAATGACAAGACATGTAAAGAACACTCAGTAAATAGAAATAGCGATAGAACAGATTACAAGCGACTACCATAACATTTCTAATACCCTAATGCTTTTGAAACTTATTCCAACAAAACTGTTTTTATAGTGTTAATTAGTTGAAAGGAAACCATTCTAATGACCTTTAAGGACTTTAAGAAATGTAAAACCGGCATTACTATCTGTAAAAAAATGATTGTTACGTAACCACCTAGAAACTAGGTAAGAGTTATTGTTAGGATTTAGGGTTAGAGGTTCGAAATTACGCCAGAAAATCAGAACAAAGTGTTAAAATTTATGAATATTATTGAGAAATCGAATAAGTAATTGCACAGTAGCCTGAAATGGACAAAAACTTATAAATTTCACAGATTGAAATCATGAGTTATTTGAAGCTAGACCACAAGGGAAAACCTGGAAGCACTGGTATGGGACTCCCCAAGAGTGCGCATCCACGATCCCGCACCCCGCGAGATTGGAACCCAGAACCTATCAGTCTCGCGCCAAGCGCTTAATCAACTAGACCACTGAGCCGGCATCGAATTTCTAAAATCTCCACGAACCCCTTCTGATAAGAAACTTATAAATTTATTTCGTTAATTTTAAATATCAAGAATCTTTGTGATTCATATGAATACTCATGAATAGCGGTTGTTATTCTTTAATATTATGATGTTGAATAATTATAAGTCAGTAAATAGTACAGCATGTCTACAACTGAAAAACATCTGAAACTCAAAGCAACTCTCTGTCAACCAACACCAAAGTCAGAATTATCAATACAAATGTCAACACAGTTCTACTATATGCGGCGGAAACTTGATGAACTACGAAAGTCATCATCCAAAAGATACAGGTGTTTATTAACAGTTGTCTACGTAAAATACTTTGAATCCGTTGTCCAGACACTATCAGCAACGACGTACTTCTGGAGATAACAAACCAGATTTCAGAGGAGGAAGAAATCAAGAAGAAGCGCTGGAAGTAGATAGGACATCTATTTAGGAAAGTACTCAACTGCGTCACAAGGCAAACCTTCACTCGGAATCATCAAGTTCAAAGGAGAAGAGGAAGACTAGAGAACACATTACGCCGAGAAATGGAAACAGACACGAAAAAAATGAACAAGAATTGGATGGAACTAGAAAGGAAGGCCGAGGACAGAGTGGGTTGGAGAGTGCTGGTCGGTGGTCTATGCTCCATTGGAAGTAACAGGCGTAAGTAAATATTTCTATTGATAACTTAACTCTCATCAGGTTAATAGCTGACCATCATTTAGTTGTAAATTCGCTGACTGATTCGTCACAACTGTTAAAAAAATTGTTCTTTGATAATTACTCCATTCCTTGTTATGGGGACTATATTATCTGAAAGCGTTATAAAATTCTTCTTTGAAATTATCTCTAGAAGTTGCTTTCATTAAGTTGAGTAGATTATCACCGTGTTGTTTTATGGCTTATCTAGGGAATATATACAATAAATCTAAGTATCATATTGTAACTCAGTTATGTTGAGGCTTAGAATACTGACAGATTGATATTGTAGTGAAAGAACACTTGGGTAGGGAAGAACAACTTATTACTTAATGCACACAATTATGTAGTAAAATATGGAATTCATGCATCGAATACATCATTTGCACATTTTCTTCTGATGGTCTCTTACGAGATTGAATATCCGTCCACTCTTAATGTTATTTTCATTGCTTAAGTTTTCCTTTTTCTCTTCTCTTCATTTCAATCTTTTACCAACCTACTTCTCGCAGACATTCCACTTCTGAGTGATGTTACATACTACTTATAAGTAGCATAAACCACAATTTGTAAAAGGCTTTATCTGAATGTAGCATAACCTATCACATTCTTCTTATTGTTTCTCAATCTGTGAAAACATAATTAGTTCTGGCCATACTGTAGTGATATTAAACGATGGTAATATGAACTTTCTTACTTGTATAAGTGTTTTCATATGTTATTTTATTGAGTAAAAATGAGATCATAAATTAGAATACAATAATAGTGAAATGTGTTATATTTGTTCTCTATAATAAACCAATGTAAATCATATCTTGAAGTCATATTAGTTTAACGATACGTACGTAATTTAAGTAGTATATTGAAAATATACGAAAAGAGTAGTTAAAATTATGTAACTTAATGAATGCTTACTTGCTAGTAGCGGTAAAAATTGATATATTACCAGGCATAGGTGTTGTTGTATTTCTAGCTGTACGTAAATCTTCAAGCTCTTTTTGAATAGACATATACATTTTACGCACAACAGCATCTAGATCCTATTTGAAATAACAATAACAGTAAAACTATAAATATATTTCATTTTGTTTGAATTCACAACATTCATATTGTAAACAATAATACTAATAATAAAATATCATAGATTGAAATCATGAGTCAATTGAAGCTAGACTACCATGGAAAACCTGGAAGCACTGGACGGCCGTTTCGTCCTAGTATGGGACTCCTCAGCAGTGCGCATCCACGAATCTTGCGGGGTCTCGTTTCAATTGACTCATGATTTTTGATCTGTGAGATTTCTAAAACCTCCACAAACCCATTCTGATGACGTCAATTCGTGATAAAAAATATCCCGAAATCTAATTCCTAACCTTAAACATCAACTGCAACTCATAATCTTTATAACACTGACTTAGTACTGGTTATTAGGTGAACCCTCTGAAGGTCTGTTTGGCGTCGTTCAAAGGTCATCCATAATTTATCGTTTCACCTATAATTTAGTATATTAGTATTTCTGAAAATATTAAATATAGACACTTGATATTTATATTTGACATACATACAATAATTGACTATGGAAATTATGTTTATTAAACGACTAGTGTTAGGCAAAGATAAATAATGGCTAGTCGTTGAATCCAGGACGCGCGTTATGTCCTATTTGGGACTCGTCAGCTGGATGTATCTGCATCCCAGAGTTGATATTCATTCCGGAACTCGAACCCAGTACCGTTCGCTTCAAACGTGATCACGCTATCCACTTAGCTACTGAGTCCTGATAGCCACCTGATTGTGTAATTAGTGTTACGTATTTGTTTCCCTATAGGCTTGTTTGAAAAGGAAATTAAAGTATATAATCATAGAATTTCTCTATAATAAAATGTTTTCAGTATTATGTTTCATATCAGTCAGCATATTGCAAATAACAGGAATTTCATGACAAATTGTCTTGTCAGAATACAAGAAAAAGATTCATATTTTATAATAAAGATTTTATGACTACTCAGTTATGTTAATGTCAATATGATATCAATAGTATGATGATGAAATGTCCAATGATGAATACGGATACTTTAATTACGTCAAGTTGCGTAGCTCACCTGTAAGTTCTCAGGCTGTGTAATTGAGAGACAAGTGTTTGAATTCATCACATTACAACCATCCACTGTGAATGTCCTGACTAACCGTACTGACAAGAACCGAATAGAACAAAACTTTGGTACAGGGTGTCCTGTTAACTATCTATAACTATCTAACATCTCAATATAATACAATTGATGTAAAGTTACTATGAGCCACATAGTAACTTGATGAATAAAATGCAACCAATAAGGACTAAACAAGCATAAAGGTGGTCATTACTCAATGATCAATCAGTTGTTAATCGTCGACTTTTTTTATACAGAAGACATAAACTGACATTCGTTATGTTTGACAGAATAACAGTCTTTTTTATTCAGATTCTTAAGAATGTGTTTTGCAATAAATTATTATCACTTGATAAATACCAAGTGAGGTATATTACGGTTATCTTGATGTGCATACAATGTCTTTGTAACCTTCTTTATGACAATTAATTCAGTGTTAAATGTGAGCGAATCAAAAGTAAACGATTATTAACGTAATATTACATGATTAGTCACATTATTTACACCTGTTCCACCTACCTAATCATAGTTAACCATCTACTCATCATCGATATTAATGCTATAATGTTTGAGGAGTACACAGGTAACAATACGGACTATTCACTATGTAGGTTGAATCGACGCTTTTTTTATTATGTAATAAAATGGGACAGATAACGATAGTAATAGGGTTTTAATGAAGATTACAAATATAAAAAGACGACTATCTTTAGCTACGTATCTATCTATCTATCTATCTAGCTATCTATCTATCTATCTATCTATCTATCTATCTATCTATCTATCTATCTATCTATCTATCTATCTATCTATCTATCTATCTATCTATCTATCTATCTATCTATCTATCTATCTATCTATCTATCTATCTATCTATCTATCTATCTATCTATCTATCTATCTATCTATCTATCTATCTATCTATCTATCTATCTATCTATCTATCTATCTATCTATCTATCTATCTATCTATCTATCTATCTATCTATCTATCTATCTATCTATCTATCTATCTATCTATCTATCTATCTATCTATCTATCTATCTATCTATCTATCTATCTATCTATCTATCTATCTATCTATCTATCTATCTATCTATCTATCTATCTATCTATCTATCTATCTATCTATCTATCTATCTATCTATCTATCTATCTATCTATCTATCTATCTATCTATCTATCTATCTATCTATCTATCTATCTATCTATCTATCTATCTATCTATCTATCTATCTATCTATCTATCTATCTATCTATCTATCTATCTATCTATCTATCTATCTATCTATCTATCTATCTATCTATCTATCTATCTATCTATCTATCTATCTATCTATCTATCTATCTATCTATCTATCTATCTATCTATCTATCTATCTATCTATCTATCTATCTATCTATCTATCTATCTATCTATCTATCTATCTATCTATCTATCTATCTATCTATCTATCTATCTATCTATCTATCTATCTATCTATCTATCTATCTATCTATCTATCTATCTATCTATCTATCTATCTATCTATCTATCTATCTATCTATCTATCTATCTATCTATCTATCTATCTATCTATCTATCTATCTATCTATCTATCTATCTATCTATCTATCTATCTATCTATCTATCTATCTATCTATCTATCTATCTATCTATCTATCTATCTATCTATCTATCTATCTATCTATCTATCTATCTATCTATCTATCTATCTATCTATCTATCGAAAGAAAGAAAGAAAGAAAGAATGAAAGAAAGAAACAGCAGGAATCCATCTGAAATATCTTATAATCCATTGAGCGATGAATGCTGCGACAACTAACAATAACATTTGGCATGTTTATCTGTTCACACTACAGAAATATATTGAATATATAAACACATTGTCTTACATCATTTTATACATGTATGTAGATAAAAACATACATGCCATGATTATGAAACACAGAAGCGGTCACTTTCAATGTCTGGCATAAAGTTTAAAAAAATGTAATCAAATCATTATACATCGTCAGCTGAACACATGTGTTTTATCATAGGGAATAAGTTTATTTGGATGAACCTATGGGTTTTTTTGGAAAAAGAAATGATGCAAAACACTTGTGTATTTATTATTTCATTTTATATTTTCAAGAAAATGATTAATGAGGGTAAGAAGTGATTAGTAATTTGTCCTGTTAATTGATTGCTGATTAATCTAGTCCTTAGTTCTTATCCATTTATACTGACAAGTAACCATGCAACTATTCGTTGAACTGATTCGGTATCAAGTAAAATAATTTTATGAAATTTGTTGGTTAAATGAAACTATAGTTTCTACGAGTTTACACTCATCAGTAATTGTAATACTGAAGCATTAGGGTTTAACGCAGGCTATCTAACTACGATCCAATAAGAGTCACTGTAACATCTCTGACTTTACTAGTAAATAGTACCGTTTTAATCGTAAAGACAGTGTTATTTCAAAATAATGCAGATACTACATGATGAAGAATGTCTAGTAGCATAAAATTAAGGTTCATGTCCATTTCCATTAATTTGTTGAATCTTCCCATTATATCTTTTTGATAGATAGTTGAAACTAGAAAACATTAATTTATTCACCTATTATCAGATGGGTTTTGTGGATATTATAGTAATTTCAATGGTTAAGATCATGAGTCAGTTGAAGCTAAACCACCATGGAAAACCTGGAAGCACTGGACTGCCGTTTCGACCTATTGTGGGACTCACCTGTTAGTTGAAAATCGCTTTCTACTTTTTTTGTGAGTAAAAAACAAAAAAAGAACTCAATATTTATTGCATCATAACCATCTTAAGTAGAATTCATATGAAGTGCAACGTAAATATGTTTAGACAGTATATAGTAGTAGTTGATTTCCTCATAGTCAACTGTCAGGTAACTGTTCATTTCCATTATTTTATTCATTCACAAATCTCTTCATTATAAACAAATTAAAGGGTTTGTTCTGTGGTTGTGTAATAAGTAAAATTACTTTGAATTGGAAATGTAAACCATTGAATGGTACTATAGTAGTTTACAGGTTACTAGCCCGATGTGAAACCTGGGAGTCTTGGTGTGATCTCCAAAGAAACCATCTATGTGTATTGCCAAGGAAGATTCGTCCAAGTAATAATTCCTTTCTATTTGTGTTTCTAGTTTCTTCAAGTTGACCTTCATAACCTTCTGATATTTATATTGACAGATATAAGTAGCATACATCGCAGTATTACTTCTACTAATACTATTAGCACTTCAGTCACTAATACGTGTAAATCTATAATGTATACACTGAGAAGATAGAAAGTCAAAGTAAACATTACATAACATCTTACATAATGTCGAAAATCTAATCTCGCTGAAATATTTTCAATTTCAGCTAGTAATGCCAAATCTTTTTTATCTTTTACCTCTTTATGTTGTCCAGTTGGTTCAATGCCAACTTCTAAACCTTTAAAAGAAAATGAAATTAAAAAAAAATTAATAGTCATATTAGTAGTATATATATAGAAAAATATGAACAAAAGTATAGTATAATATATATGTATATATAATTGGATGAAGGATGGGACGTAATTTTGAGAGACTGATTGAAGAAAAGTCTAGCGATGATGAGAAACAGTGAAACTCATTAACTGCAAACTCTGCCTGCAGCTCTTATAGGGCTACCGTCGATTCCAAGACCACACAAAGAAGGAGGATTGAGAATGGGGTCGACAACCCCATTCTGCAGAAAAAAACTTTTCTCAAAAAACGCTAACCAGAATATATGGATTGAACCGTTTAAAATCAGCTATTCGCGTTGAAGGATCTTCATGCAGAAGAATTATGACACCTCATTATCAAAGTCGAGATTTTCGGGAAGTCACTGAATGTTCGTTGAATGTATGCCATCATCAACAAACTACTATGTGAGAGAACAAATCAACTTCTAACTGAAGAGGAAATTGGGAAAAGACTTTGGAAGTGGATAGGACACACATTTTAGAAATCAACAAACTGGATCTTCATGTTGAAGGGTGTAGGAAAAGAGGAAGACCAAAGAACACACTGCATCGAGAATAAGATGCAGAATATCAATGGAATGAATATCAACTGGAAAGGATTATCCAAGTCACAGTTTGATAGAGAATTCTGGTGAGTGGCTTAGGCTCCTCCATGAGCGATAACAGGCGTAAGGAACTAAGTACATTTTAAAATTATCTCAAGTGCTGCTACTGAAATCAGACAGCCAATGGCTTGTTCAATGTGGTGAATTAGTTAAATGGATAACAAAATAACTTTCGAAGCAAACAGTAATAGGTTCCAATCCCTGAGTGAACATCAACTATAAAATGCTGGCGCAAATACGACGAAACTCACCTCTTAGATTCCATTCTCAACCATAAACCATTGTTACTTATACATAACGTTTTTTATCAAGAAATCTACTGTAGTAAACACTTACAATAGATAACTATGTGTTAGTAAAGGTAACTAGAATGCATTTATGTGATTGTTTTGATATTTAAATCAATATCATAGAAATTAATCCAAATCTACCAACTACAGATATACATAAGAGTTACTAGAAATATCTAATACTACTCTATGCAAACGATTAGTGCTACAATGAAAGAGCATGCAAACTAATATTAGCTTACAATGCTTTCTGATAATAATATTTTCAATAATATTATGTGCAAGTTGAAATAATGTCATTCCTATAAATTTGATAATAAATGGAAATACTTAGTTGATTTACAATGAAAATGTAATGCTTGTTAATAGTTGAGATCATGAGTCAATTGAAGCTAGACCATCATGGAGAACCTAGAACCTAGAAGCATTGGATAGCCGTTTCGTCCTATTGTGGGAATTTTCAACAGTGCACATCCACGACACTGCCTCGCAAGATTCAAACCCACGACCTATCGGTCTGGCGCAGGAGCGCTTAACCACTAGACCACTGAATCGGCATCCAACCGTGTTATTGTCTAACTTAAACTAATCCACGAAATTGAGCGACACATCCACCATTGTCTTCAGTGAGTCCCTATTATCTCACAACAGAACCGACTGAACCCCACTGGCCACTGCATCTCACTAGAACTCCAGGAAACACCTCTTGAAGTCAGTCACCATCGAGGATATGTTGATTAGTATCAACACTATAATATTCATACCATAATATCCACAAAACCCCTTCTGATACGAATTATTTTTGATTGTTTGTCTTTGTTTTTTAACTCTCTAATGAAATTGAATTATGTTAGGTTAGTATCTGCTGGGATCACCGGGTAAGTAATAGTGAGGTTAAACGTAGCGTATTAGGGAATGATGATAAATCAGTTGATGAGGTTGTGAATCTTCATCGACTGAGATGTTTGGGCCACGTGTTGCGTAGAACATTGCTATTAGAAATGAAATATCTGTATTATAACAATCATTGAATGAACTCTAAACTTATTATAGGCTCTTTGCAATTAATAAATTTATTATTAAATAGGAATCATGAAATAATGGCTCCATTTAATAAAGCACCCTACAAACCTTTCTAACCCATATACAAGTTGTTTACAAATTTAGCATATCTACAATTTAGTTCAGTAGAATGAGAGAGGAAGCATATGAATATGCTTATTAATCAAAATACTCATTTTAAAGACTGTAAAGAGTAACTTATTTTTAACAATTTGTCTACAGTTTGTTTATGTGATAAACGTGTACTCTACGAACGAATCAACCACATTAAAGATAGTGACTAAAACATTTCGTGGATTGGTTAAAGATAGACAATAACAACGCTGAGTGCCGGCTCAATGGTCTACTGGTTAGGTGTTCTCGCGCGAGACTGAAGGTCGTGCTTTCGAATATCGCAAGCGGGATCGTGGATGCGCACTGCTAAAGAGTCCCACAATAGGACGAAACGGCCATCCAGTGCTTCCGTGTTTCAACATCAGTTGGTTCATAATCGCAATCAAAACATTTTTGGGGGAAAATTCAAAACACGATGATGATTAGCTTATGTCCTATTAAGATTAAGTTACTTACAACGCTTAAAAGTGATAAAGTTGTCCAAGTGATTAAATCAAAATAAGAAAAAAATAGTAGTAAAGAAAGTGTATTAAAATGCACAAAATAGTTCGATATTGTTACTAACTTTCTTAATGATTCATTAATACAACTTCAAAGTCTTCCTCTACACTGTTCATAAACCAAGGTCTAAACCTTAATCCTGACATTATTGGAATTTTTAGTAATGAATAGTTCACTTATATCGCCTAATTTTTAAGAGTGAAAGAGATTAGTTAACCTTTTCAAGCTTTTTAACTGTTTATGTTTTTATTCATTTTGTATTGTTGTGATGTGGGTTACTTATATCCACATAAGTAGTATATAATGGTGGTTAGTCAAAGAATGTATTTCAGTAGAAGATCGATAAGGAAAGAACGGGAACGGAACGCAATTGGTATGAAAGTGCATGAACAATGAAATCTGAGGCAATGGACTGATATTTGCGAAACAGCCAAGTTTGACACGATGGATTAGTATTTTGCAAATTAACGATTTACTACATAGTTCTCAGATTTTAATGAAATGCTCTGTAATGCGTTAACAGATTGTCTCCCCAGTCGTGTTCTTGTTCCCTACATTGTTTGTTCAAATCGTTCAATTTATGTCTAGAATTGTAATTGATCAGTATCTTACTGGCATATGTACATCCTATGCACATTGCCTTGATACTGCCTGGAGTGAACATCAACTCCGGGGTGCAGGTACATCCAGTTGACGAGTCTCAGTTAGGATGAAACGCACGTCAATGATTCCACTACTAGTCACTATCCATCTTTGCTTATGATATTTACTTTTTTCACCTAAATTTCGTCATTCTATAATCTCATTAATGTTTCATTTATCTCTTCATAACATGGTAACGCATGCTTTGATTGTACAAGTTTTTAAAAAAAATATATAACATCACTTCTGAACCTGTAATTAGTAAAGAAAAGATGGTATTTAATAAGAAGTAAATATGCCCTTAGTCCGATACGTCATTTTAATTAGATTAATCAAAGGAAAATGGTTACTACAGCAGCATAATGTTAAACCCTATAAAAATAATAATCTAGACTTATTCAGCAAAACATAAAGAAAAGAATGGCTTGTATAGTATTTTAAAGAGAAAATATACTATACAAGTTCACTGGTTATAATAAATACATAAATAGGTGAGTTCAATGGTGAAAAAGATCAAAGAAATCGTTTATCTTCTGAATGTTTTCATTTTGTTCTATAATGTAATGACGAATATGAACAATGGATTAATACTAACCACTTGAAAATTTATCAATCACATAGTAAAAGGAACAAAATAAACTATGAATATTTGTAATTAGAAATGCTTTGGAAACTATCTAAGAGGTTTTGTTCAGTCTTGTGTAACATCAACCAACTGGAAAGAAAGTCATACTAAGACTTCTGAAATTCCTGACGTAGATGGAGGTACAAAGAGAATTAAGTTGTTAAATGACTGACATTGATTCTACTACATCTTAATAAATAACTCATCTTTAATGAATGATATTCAAATAAAGATATCTCGATTATTCTCATTTATAATTTGAGTTATAGTTGCAATATTTCAAAACCAGTTAACTAATTTTATGTTATTGTTGTGTAACTTGACGAATCCATCATAAAAAAAATATCAGTCCATAATGAATATATTGCAACAGAGACTAACTATCTATAGTACTGAACATTAGGTAGCAAAATCCGACCTAAGGTTTCCTTGTGGCGCTGCTGGATAGTTGAGGTAACCCTACAAGCCAACTTTGGCGGTCACAGAGATCAGGCTAATCACCCACTCTATCGTATCTTATCAATCCCTGGTTGTATAATGGGAGCTCACTTTACCGCTCGGGCTACCCGTTATGTATGCTTATACATGAGAATCGCAGAAGTTCTCGGATTTATTCAGTTCAAGTATGTGGGTATATACAAAGGGTAGCATATGGTGTTGTATAAAGGAAACGTTGAGCTGCAAAAAAGTCTTCCCTATGTCTAATAAAATCAGTGGACTATACATCAGGTCGAAGACATAATAAAAAAGGTGGTAGCAAAAACTAAGATGAGGTGAACATCAACCTACCCTCAGAGAGTGTTTATGCTTATGTGTGTGACAAGAAATGCTGCGTTAGTAACCATGGTATGAATGATATGCATATAATATGTAAGAGCCTGTCTGGTGCAGTAAATATATTTTCTCTAGGAGCGGTGAGCATCTACCCTCCGAGGTGGGTGAATATACCTATGTGTATACTATGGGATGCATAGGGTAAAACCTGTGCGTTACTGATGTGCATATAACGTATATTTACTCACAGGGTATGTATACCTGTATGTATGCAAAGTGATACACGAATGAAAGTTCTTGTATTAACTAGTATAAAAGTAGACTATACATATCCAGGGTAAGTTCTCAAACTTTTTATTTTTTCTTGATAAAATACCATTATGTATACAAAGACCCGTGGGGCCGCGGTCTTCACTAAGTCACACGCTCGCTGTAGGTTTGTAGGTTTCAAATAAAAGGAATTTATTCCAGAAAGACCGCTAGTTCTCCCCAGTAGGCTTCATAAGCTGTTTCTGGCTGGAACACTACACACATTGAACATTAACAACGGAGAATATTATTATTATTATCGCCATTACTACAATATTATTCTTAGACAAGTTGACGATGAACAAGACACTAGACCGGTAAAATGAACACAATCATTGAAATAATGGAAACTAAGAAGGGCAACACGTTACATAAGATTTAAAGGAAAATATGTCGTTGTTTATTTTATTGAATCACTGACTATTTTAATGCATATTAAGTAGGGTCTCAATAATCTATTCATATATTCAGTTGATTTTGTTTTGGTTATATATTGAGTACTGAAATTAGTTTTGATTTTAAGCTTCAATGAAGAAATGTATTCACTGGGTGATGATCATTGTCATGTGTGTCACGTCCTTCTTAGTGCAGATCGAATGCTATAGACTAAGTTGCAATGTGGACACTAGTCTAGGTGACTGAACGCGACTAAGAAGGACCTGACACACATGACATTAACTACCACCCAGTGAGTAACCAATTGTGAATACATCTCAGTCCTACAGGAGATCAGTCGCGGCTCGTATAGCCCAGTAGTAACATCTCTGACTGTGAAGCTTGGTGACATGAGACCGAATCCGTCAGGGAGCACCAGTTCCCTCAAGATTACAAGTACACCTTGCTGAAGAGTGCGAAATAGCACAAAATCGGGTCCAGGTTTTCCTGTTGACTGCCCGTAACCACTATATTATGGAGGAATCTCTTATGTATGTTTGAAACATTTCGATATTAAACAGTGACTTTTTACAATAACTACAATACATGGGCGTCCGTTTCATGACAGCTGAATAAATGTTACGACTATTATATCATTCATTCAGTGTTCAAAATCAGTATAGTTGAGGGAATTTATGCGATAAAATGAAATACAGTCCCGAATGACACAAGTCTCTAGTTCACTGTTGCATGTCAAAAAATTCAGACAAACCACTATTGAAAGTTGGATGAAAGTTTTGGAAAATCAATTAGAACAAATTCACTTGATGTTTTTTTACTTGAATCTTCCTATTGATGTTTTAGGACTGAAATTGATCAGTCTCTTATTGGCATATGTGCATATTGTGCGTATGCCTCGATATTGCCTAAATTTACAAGCATTATAAGCAAAGATGGATAGTGGCTAGCAGTGGAGTCCAGGACGCGCGTTTCATCCTGTTTGGGACTCGTCAGCTGGATGTGCCTGCATCTGAGTTGATGTTCACTCTGGGACTCGAACAAATGTTTCAATCAATATTGACTTTTAATATGATAGCGAGTTTTAGACATTTAGAATGTTTATCTCCAGTTTCATGATCCATAATGATTATATTTCCTATGGTTGGATCATACTAAGGTAAATCTAGTGCATAATAAATAATTCATAAACATCAAGTCAAGAGTAATTTTGATTGAAAACATGAACTGATTGATGTCAGTCCACAGTTGAAAACTTGTAAGCACTGGATGGCCATTTCGTCCTATCGTGGGACTCCTCAGCACGAACTCACTCGCAGGATTAGAACCCAGGACCCTCAGTCTCGTGATTGAACGCTTAACTCCTAGACAACTGAGCCGTTATCTAACGGTGTTAATGTCTAACCTCAACCAATCTACGAAATTACACAACCATCTTCCATTGTATTGAGATAGATACTTGTCTCTACCCGACACGAATTAGCTGCACTGGTCACGGCTTCTCACTAGAACTCCGAGAATCCATTCGATCTTTTTTTCTACTAAGTACTAATCGAATTCACCATTGAAAGACAATAATGAGTTTTTTCCCATTCACATTTTTAACTTAATCACATAATATTTGGCGTAAATTACTAATACCCTCAAGTTGTAATTTCTATTTCTCCCTTAGTGTATGGCAGTTTTGTTTTAGATTATTTAAACAACTCTTTTTCATATTGGACAAGTGTTATTAGATCTAGTTTGTTTTATTTATTAATCATATATGTGGTAGATTTTTAGTTTTTGTTTTTGATAGTTGAATTCATAAGACACTCTAAGCTACACCGTTATCCACTTCAGACAATAGATGAAAGGTTGTGCTGAAGTTAGACAGTAATACCGGTGGATGACAGCTCATTGGTCTAAACGTTAAGCCTTTGCGCGCTCGGGGCCGAAGGAACTGGGTTCAAGTCCCGCATACGGGGTCCTGAATACACTTTGATGAAGGGTTCCATAATAAAATGAAAAGGCCGTCGAATGCTTCCAGGTTTTTAATGGTGGTCTAGCTTAAATCGACTCATGAAGTTAACTTTCCAAACTACTACAATATCTACAAATCCTCATTCCGTTTTTCAGTTTATTAAGTACGATACAAAATTGAATCATTAACTTCATGAAATGATGTAAAGTGACTTCAACTTATTCACATTATGGATTATTTTCTTTTGTACACTTAATAATAAACAAACAAAGATTAATTGAGGAAAGTAAATATTAATCTAAACTGTTTATATTAAGGAATAGTCAGATGGATCTATTCATTGATTGATAAAACATCAAAGTAATTGAAATCTCAGTAATAAAATAAAATAATTTTTGTAATAATCCAACAAGTAGAAATCACGGTTTCTGACGTAATACCACATAATACAAGTGGTTTAGTGAGAGGATAAATAAATCAATAAAACCGAAGCTTTTGTTTGAGATCATTATCCAATTGATGTTAGACCACCATTGAAAACCTGGGAGCACTGGACGGTAGTTTCGTCCTATTTTAGGACTTCTCAGCAGTGGGCAACACGAATTATTTGGGGTTAGACATTAACACCATTGGATGCCGACTCAGGGATCTAGAGGTCAAACGTTCGTGCACAAGACTGAAAGCCCTGGGTTGGAATCCCGAGAGCGGGATCGCGGAAGCGCACTGCTAAGAAGTCGCACAATAGGACGAAACGGCCATACAGTGCTTCCAGGTTTTCAATGGTGACCTAACATCAATCGATTCATGATCTTAATTAAAAATTTAATAATCTTTACGACCCTATACTGAACAAAACGTAAGCTTGTTTACTAAAACAATGGAACGAATTGTGCATTGATTGAATACCTAATTTTGTAACTCTAATCTGCTTAAATTTAGCTTGATTGATACCAAATCAAATCACTTATTTACACATATGTACTTATTAGATTTTTTCAAAGATATCTTTATCATTGATAAAGTGTATATAAAATGTATCATTTTCAAGAACTAAACATTACCAGTCAACACTTTACTCTGCAGTAATTTATTCCTTTATGTATATTAAAAGGTGCATAAATTCGTATTTATGATGTAGTTTGATATAGTAAATAAGCAACTTTAAAATTATTATCATTACCATTAGTAGTGTAAGTGTACTTCATCTGGTCATTGAAAATACTCCATAGTTTTCTAAGATTTAAAGTATAGAAGAGATAAACTCCTAAGAAATTCGTTTAACTAGATAAATTTCAGGGGGGGAGACTATTTAAAAGATCACCTTTTTATAGTACTTTTTGATGTTCTTTTTCTCGAAATAAAAGATTCTTACATTGTGTTAATAGTTTGACAATAGTTAGAAGACATTTATAAACATTTTCATACCCTTCAGATAGCTGACAAGTTGTTTAAGCTCAGTTTATCATAGAATAATACATTATCATTTGAACGAAATGTTCTAGATTGGAATTTCAAACTGAATAATAATCAATACTGAAATGCAAGTAAACCGTAAGTGAACAATATGAAAGAAGAATGAAACAAGTGTTTATGATTACATTGTTGGTCATAAATCAAGTCATTATATCATATGATGTATTGAATGATCTAATAAACATTTACATTAAGATAATCATAATATAGTTCGGTTAAATGTATATCAACTCACGTGATTCCAGTTCTATAGCTTCAATGCCTAATCGATGATAAATTTTATATTTAATATTTTCAATGGCATCAACTCCACGAATGGACTGCCTATCATTTAAAAAGAAAATCATAAATGAATAGAATTAGTGTAGAGTTTCATTGATACTACTCTTTATCAAAAAAAAAGGAATCAGTAAAGTTATTTTCGAAAAAATATGTTAAATATTTGAACTAATTCAATTTTAGGTGATTAGTCAAGTTATGTAATGTCTTTTTGATGGATTTTTGTTCTCTGAGCTGGATGGTTTGTTTTTGTGGAGCTTTCATAGAAGACTTCTATCTGAAGTTTGTGCTGATGATGTGGTTCAGAAGAACAATGAAAGCTCCATGACCAAACCATCCAGCTCAGAGAACATAAATCCATAAAAATCATCAACTTGAGCTACAAATTCTCTCCATCATCTATGTAATGTCTTGTTGTTGAAATGCAAAATCAATAATAATAAAATGGTTGAAGTTAGACGTTAACACTTGTTGGATAATGGCTCAACGGTCTACAGATTGAACCTTCGAAAGCGAGAGTGAATGTCTTGGGTTTGAATCTTGCAAGCGGGATCGTGGATGCGCACTGATAAAGAGTTCCTTAATAAGACGAAATGCCTATCTAGTACTTCCAGATTTCCAATAGTGGTCTAACATTAATCGATTCATGAACTTAATTAAAAAGCATAACAATTTCTAAAATCCCATACGGATAATAATCATTTGTTTTGTCATATAACAGTAAGAAAGAATTATATTGTTACTTTTCATTGTATTTCTCACAATATTATCATTATTTTTAAGGATTTGACTCCTTTTGTTGTTCATATTAGAGAGTGTACTTGAATTAATTTTCTGTGGATATGGGAATCCTATCATGATTGCCTTGATATAGCCATCAATGCTGCAACAACTCAAACTCTTTTTTTAAATAATGAGACAACAATCAAACATGCTGAACATGTCAGTGGCTATTCGAACTCAGCACGTCAGTGTACAAAATGTTTGGCGTTCAAAACGAAGTGTATTAGGTTCAAAACTTAACAGCCCTTATATTGTGGAGTATTTTGTAGAATGTTAAATTTAATGGTTTATATCATGAACTGGTTTCAGTTAGCAGTTGTTTAATTCATATAAGTTCATGACATAAAATTTTAGGATTTACATTTGAAGTTCATGAATTACCTGTTGAGCTTAACCTTTTAACACATTTGAGACAGTTAAGTAGTATAAGTAAAGATGGGTTGCAGCTAGCAATGGAATTCACCACGCGCCTTTTGTCCTGTTTCGGACTCGTCAGTGAATTTAAACTTCACCCTACTGCACATGCAGATGGCTACCAGGACTTAGTAACTTAGAAGACAATGTGATGGTGTTTAAAGAGAACGGTACTAGGTTCGAATCCAGGAGTAAACATAAACTCTGAGATTCAGTCCCAAATGAGACGAAACGCTGATCCTGGATTCCACTGTTATCCACCTTTGCCTATAATACTTGTGAATTAAGGCAATATCAAGGCAATATGCACAGTATGCACATATACCATTAAGAGACTGATCAACTGCAGTCCTAAACAATATTGGGAAGCTACAAGCAAACAACACCAAGTGAAGTTAAGTATTATTTTATCTGTCAAAATATATTTTTCAACAGTACGTCAAGAGCAAATGATAATTTGACTATGAGAAATATATATAGTCAAAAATAAGCCCATACATAGTTTTATGGTCTTAGAATATTAATAACAATATGGAAGTTATAGGTAACCAGTTTTAGAAAGTAAGTGTTTCTGGATTCGTTTTCATATTCATCAGTTTATCACATTTAATTATGGCTTGTATTTGACGTTGAACTTGGTTAAAACAACGGTGAGAACCGGAAGCTCTGAATAGCTATTTCATCCTATCGTGAGACTTTTAAGGAGTGGACATTCATTGCCTTATCGAGGAATCGACTCATTAACCTTAAATCATGCTATAACCGTGAGAACTTTATTTTTATATAATGTAGATTGATTTGATGAGAACTTTTTATACACTGATTTACATTAAAGTAATGTGAAATAGCAACTGTATTATACTGAATACAATTTTATTTCCAGAACATTAAAATAGTAATGAAACAATATAAAATATAATGTGACCTACAAACGAAGAAATATCGGTTTCTTGATCACTTGACTTCCTCTGCGTCTTGCAACTGTGAAAACAATTTGATCTGTGAACATAAATATACATACAGGATCTTTTCGTTCCTAGATTAAAGAAAGAAATGAAGATTACTTAATATCCTTGCATTTAGTAATTTAATCTGTTTATGAAACATCTATTAAAGAAGTTTAACGTACGATCAACTATAGACCACTCGTGTGCTCATTCTGAATGTCTAGATTCTCATAGAAAGTTTTAAGTAGTTTTATAAATGATTGGCAAAAGGTTGTTGTACTAATCTTTGGGATTATCCTCTATACTTGACTGACTTAATTAACATACAAATAGTCTTTGTCAGTCAGTTGAATTAGTAGAAAAATACTACCCAAGTTTAAGTGGAATCTATGTGTTTTCCGATTAAAACTATGCATAAAGTACTCAAAATGTTTAAATATTTCTTTAGGAACTAACGAGATTACAAAGTATGTTTAATGATTCGGCTTACCCCTGAGATCAATTAAACCGAATTCGATAGTATTTAAAGTATTCTATTAGTCTGTAAACTATTCAAACATCTCTATCTATCAGAAATTCTTACATTTATATAGTCTGTATTACATATATAGTCTATATTATTCAAGACGGCGTGCTTGAATATCTGGACTACCTGTTCCTGCCATCTAGATATTTCAACAAGTTGTCTGTTTTCTTGTTTATTTTAACATATCATTACGTCTATTACTCACATAAGCTATTCAGGTGCGTTTATGAAAAGTTTACGATATTTCACAGTACAAGTTATAAAAGGGCCTAATCAGAGACAACGTGGTTGCTGACGATATACATCGAAAAGAATACACATGATTCAGACGTCAATTGCTGAAATGCTAACATCTAACTGGTGACTACTCAAGATTTATCGCAATGGTCGATCAAGAAATAAGCAAAGGAAACTTGTTGAAATACTTTTTATTAGAAAGGGGTTTTGTGAAGATTTTAGTAATTTCAACAGTTGAAATCATGAATCAGATGAAACTAGACCATGATGAAAAACCTGGAAGCACTGGACGGCCGTTCCGTTCTAGTATGAGACTCCTCAGCTGTGTGCATCCACAACCCCGCCCCCTACAAAATTGAAATCCAGGGTCTTCAATCTTGCGCACGAACGCTTAACCATCAGACCGCGGAGCCGTTTTTCAACAATGTTAATGTTTAACCTCAACCAATTCACGAAATTGTGGCCGTCTAATGCTTCCAGGTTTTCCATGTTGGTCTAACTTCAAATGACTCATGATTTCAACTAGTGATGTACTTTTTGCTGGGAATTCTACACGGTACCAAAAATATAATATTGAATTAAGCTACTGATAATAATAATAAAGTTTGATCTTTCAACTTATTACATGAACTAGATTATTATATCATTCATTCAGCTCCAAATATACATTTCAAAGATAAATGACATGCATCACATTTATGACTAAAGGAAAATACTCACACAAACAAACAAAGCTCAAAGTAAACTCATTGTTAGTACTAAGAAATGAATGTTAGTAAAATATAGACAATAGTTGACTTATCCAGTTTAATAGTGCTTGACAACAAAATTGTTTTCTCACCATAATCGATAAACATACTTAAACTTCTTTGACGAAGTTTTTTTCTCTGAACTGGATGGTTTGTTTTCGTGGAGCTTTTATCATTCTTCTGAACGACATCATCAGCACAAACTTCAGGTGGAAATCAAACAGAAGTTTGTGCTGATGATTTCGTTTAGTAGAACGATGAAAGCTTTACAACCAAACCATCCAGCTTAGAGAAGAAAACTTCATCAAAATGAAAAATCATCCACCTAAGGTACAAATCTTTCCCACTATACTGAAACTTACTTCAACTGAAACAATATCATGTCGAACATATTGACGTGTTGGTGTTAAAGTCTGAAAAAATTTAAATATGAAGAAAGAAATTAGACAGTAGGTTGAAATACTGGAAAATTGTCATTTTTTAATGTAGCCAGTAGAAACATATTTCTACAATATTTTTCAGTATGGGGTTGTGGAGGTTATTACGTTTTTGTAAATGTAACATTCATACCGTTTGTATCATTGTAGTTTTACAAAAGGGTTGACATTAACTCTTATATTTTGAATAATAACAATTTATGTGGTTGAAATAAAATCTTCATCAGAATACAAAATGAATCTCTACATCAAAACTCTTGTGAACATAGTGAACAACTTTGTTTTGATTTGATGTTTAAACTTTAAGAGGAACAAGGTAATAAGATTCAAACTATCAGGAGACATCAGTATGGTGTTATGAAGATTGTGTATTTTTGACTGAGATCATGAATTGATCAATGTTAGACTACCATTGAAAAAATGAAGGCATTAGAGGGCGTGGATTAGTTGAAGGTAGACATTAATACCGTTGGATGTCGGCTTAATAGTCTAGAGGTAAAGTGTTCGCACTGAAGAGCTATTTTCTTGGGTTCAAATCATACTTATGGGATCGTGGATACGTACTGTTGACGAGTCTCACACTAGAACTAACTGACCGTTCAGATCTTCAATGATTGTTTAACATTGATCCATTCGTAATATCAATCAATTATGTACATAAAATTATTACATAAAATATAAAAATGAAAGTTTCAATTTCACTTACAGCAGGTGCTAAAAGTTTTTCAATTAATCGTATACCATCTACAATATTTTCATCTTCACCAGCAGCATGTACAGCATTCACTCTTAAAGCCAATCGATGTATAGCACTTTCTGCTTCAACAAGTAATGCATGATCTGAATAGTCTTTAGGAGTTGATTCTAATAAACGCTATATAATAAATTATGTAAAGAAATAAAGATAGTTGATTACAAGAATAGTGTTTATTGATGTATAAAAACTAACTAGAATTAAAAAAACTCGTTTGAAAGACAATGATTTAGATAGATAGAAGTGATTTGAATGGTAGTTAGTTTCCTGTCTTTTAATGGGTACAAAGCATCAGGGTTTATTAGAAACTATCAATCTATGATGAACACTACATATTGTTAATTCAATAATAATAGAAATACTTACGGAATCATTAAAATTCAGTTCATTATATAGGTATCATTGCAAATGTTTCAACCCATATTTGGACAAAATACTCAATATTGTCAAAATAGAATAGTCGAACAGTACTTATGGTTGAATATCAATGCAAAAAATTGATATAAAATCTTTATTGGGATAGGAATCAGTTTGAAATGAATACAGGATAATCGGGAGTTACTTCATCTAGATCATTTTCTTAATTGTAATAATAACAAGCTGATAACTCACGAAACAACTGATTACAAACATTGTTCAAAAGAGCAAAGATTCAGTAGCGTACATATTTCAAATGGAGAAATGAAGAGTAGTATCTTATGACTCCCTAAAGTTAAAGAACACATGGAACTCAAAACAACTGTCTCTCAACCAATATCAAAGTCACAATCTTCAGTACGAACGTGAAGGCAGTCATTCCTACTATATGAAGCTGAAACTTGGAGAATTACCACAACCATCATCAAGAAGGGGCAAGTATTTATAAGTAGTTGTCTGTGCAAGATACTCAACATCCATTGACCGGATACCATCAACAACAGCCTTTTGTGGGAGAGAACAAACCAGCTTCCATCTAAAGAGGAAATTTGTAAAAGACGATAGAAATGGATAGGATATACATTACGCAAATCACTAAACTACATTACGAGACAAGCTGTAACTGGGAATCGTGAAGGGAAGCTGAAAAGTGAAAGGCTAAAGAACACATTATATCGGGAATTAGAAGTAGATATGAAAAGATTGAATAACAACTGAAAAGAACTAGAAAGGCTTGCCAAGGATAGGGTTGGATGGAGTGTGCTGATGGTCGGCCTATGCTCCTTCACGAGGAATAACAGGCATAAGTACATAAGTAATCTTATAACTCCTTCTCAAAAGTACAGTTATTCATGTAATTTCCATCAAAAATACTAATCCCTTAAGAAAAAAAAACTACATAAAATACAGAAACAATCAAACAAATTATACTACCATATATGAAAAAACATTTCGAAACAGATTATTGACGCTATACACGTTGATCGTTAAGTGAAATACATAAATAACCTTAGAAAACTAGAAACATTCTAAACGTTTGACATTTACATTAACCAGTAATTAAACAGATATATAGAAACAATTTATAAATAGAATACAAACTATGATAAACCAACGGAACTAAATGAAAAGAGAAGACAATCATAATTAATTTTCTGTTAGTGATAAGACAAATGTTAACAACAATAATAAATGGACAAGTTGTTATGTAATTGTAATAACACTTTTAACACTTTAGTTACATCAGATAGTTTATATTGACATGGTTATTTAGAGGAAAAACAAAACAAAAACAATTAAAGCTTCATAAATATACTACTATTATACAAAAACACTAATTTGGCTCCATGGTAACAATTGAGATTGCGAAAATATATAAATCAGCTTCTGAATTTTTTTTCATTATATTATAGCATTGGGCCCTAATCAAATAATCCTCAAAGCTGAATAAAAGACAACTAGGAAAGTAGATATTCAACATTTAACGCGTAGGAAAATGAAACGATGCAAAAGGCAGGAAGAATGAATTCATTTATATCGAATTATATGGCATAGTTCAGCCTTACAGGCGTGATTGTTCTGCATAACTTGCTTTTATCACAAGGGAACTTTGTGGGGATTGTAGTAATTGCAATAGTTGAGAGCATGAGTGAGTTGAAGCTAGACCACCATGGGATTCCTCAGCAGCGCGCATCCATGACCCCACCTCTCGCGGTTCAAACCCAGGACCTAACCGTCCCATTATAGGTCTCAACATACGCAAACGGAAAAGTAGTATCCTCCTATACAACACAGCATGCACCAATCGAATCGCACTTGACGGAGAAGATTTGGAAGATGTAAAAACCTTTACATATGTGGGCAGCATCATTAATGAACACTACGGATCTGATGCAAATGTGAAGACGTGGATCGGAAAAGAAAAAGCAGCACTGAATGTTCTTTACGCATATCCGGTCATTATTTACACATATACTTTAATCTTCCCCTTCTTGAATTATGAACAAGTTGTTTCTTTGTTAGTTGCAAAATTCATTTTCAATAAGAACACATGACGAGCGATGTTCAACCGTGTCAAACTGACGGACATCATTAAAATGCTGACTCAATAGTCAAGAGGTCTATGGTTTGATCCCCGGTAGGGTCATTATTACTAGAAACTGAGGAGTCTGACTCTAGCATAGAAGGGCTGTCCAGTATTTCTAGGCTTCCAGTGGTTAATTAACTAATATCGCTTTGTGATCTTCATATCATTACGTGCTTCACTTTAGTTTTAGGATGTACTATTGCATGTCACATATTCCTTATAATTTATTGCATCACTTACGGTGATGTTATACAAATAGAGCTGATATGATTGTGTAAAATTTTTATGATTACTTGTGTTTATTAAAAAGCTGATAGCCGTATGCATGTTTTACAGCATAGTCATAGATGTAAAATATCTAATTTATAAAAACTAGGCTGCATATAAAACCCTTAGGCTGATGATATGAAATAGTTTCCTCACTCTTCACATGATGTTTCGCTTACTATTGTGATCTTATTAACTGTGTACCTTGTATTCGCTGTATTTAAACAAACTTGGTAGTAATTAATTGGTTAGTAACTCGATATTAAATCATGGTACTTTCATAAAGTGACTATGTAAACTAGATATTTGGTTTATTATTATGCTCAGAAGGGGTTTGTGGAGATTTTAGAAATTTCACAGATTGAAACCATGAATCAATTGAAGCTAGACCACCGTGGAAAACCTGGAAGCACTGGACGGCCGTTTCGTCCTAGAATGGGACTCCTCAGTAGTGCGCAGTCACGATCCTACACCCCGCGAGATTCAAACCCTTCTGATAATAATCATCTCCTCACTAGTGACTGACGTCAAGAGATACTCCTGGAGTTCTAGTGAGAAGCCGTTACAAGTGGACTTCAACCAGGTCTGTTGTGAGATATCAGCTCACTGAAGACAATAGTGTACGGTGGCGCGAATTCGTGATTGGTTGAAGTTAGATATTAACACCATTGGATGCCGACTCAATGGTCTCGTTGGTTAAGTGCCTGGAGCGAGACTGATAGGTCTTGGGGTTGAATCTCGCAGAGTGCGGGATCGTGGATGCGCACTGGTTAGGAGTCCCATACTAGAATGGGATGGCCATCCAGTGCTTCCAGATTTTCCGTGGTGGTCTAGCTTCAATTGACTCATTATTACTATGCTTTTAAAAATATTAATTTATTGTTTCCAGGGATATTTTTAAATATTGATTTATATTTAATGTTAGGTGACTAGTATAAATATAAACTTACCTTAATAAGTAACTCATATCGGGGTATCCGTTGAACAGGTTGTACAAGAAGCGCTTTCAATGGAAGTTTATTACGATTCATCCGCAACTTCATCTAATATTTAAAAATGTAAAATTAATTCCGATTTTTAGTAATGAGGATGATAAGAAATGAATTTATACACTAAAATACACTCATTGAGCTCTCGTATAGAAAAACCACATTAAGTATATAATCGCATATAGACAAACTTGTACCTTCATATTCATTCTCAATGCGTTTTGATTTTCTTGCCCTGTCACATCGAAATGAATATACAATATTTACTTCTTGATGCATGTTATCAGATTGGAGTGTAGAAAGCGTCACTATACAAAAACACCATCTATCAATCGGGAGAATAGGATATTTGTTTAAAGCCAATAACTACCTTTGGTAAATTTCAATAATGCACTCTTTCTAAGTTAGAACATTCGCCGGCTTATTAGTTGACATTAATAAGTAGTCCCATAATAAAACGAAATATCTATACAACAATTCCCAGTTTTCACTGATAGACGAATTAAGCTGAATTCATGATATCAACCAACTCCGCCTGGAGTCCCTTCGGGGGCTACTGCCGGTCCCAAGCCCGGATAAAGGAGGAAGGTTGGGCATGGGGTTAGCGACCCCATCCCGTAGAAAACTAACTCGCTAAAAAAACGCTAACCAGAAAAATGATATCAACCATAAAATGTCTTACATAACTATTGTTTCTAAATACTTTAACGAAATAATTAATCAAATATCTGAGTCTGTTAACTTTATTATTTTTGAAAATTATATTTGAAATAATCTTAGCGATTGAAATTTAAAATAATTCCAGTGTTTCGTCCCGCAAACTTGTCTAGACTTCTTCAGGATACTAATTAAAATCAAAATCATCAAAGAAATATATAACGTTTAGCAATCAAATTAGATTTACACTATGCTAATCCAATCATATTTAGATGCTGACTTTGGTAAATAGAATGTACACGATGTGGAAATAAATGACTGAACAAATTGTGTGTGTATACATGTATGTATAAGATTGAGTAGTGAATAGGTGATATTAGGTAGTAAATGAAGGAAAAAAATAAAAGTGAAAGTTGAAGGTGGAAAATTGTTTCTGAATCATCGATGTGCATGTAAAAATGAGAACCATCAAGTATAAAATTGTATTCCTTAAATATTATAAATTAATTTTTGTCAGAATAACGAACCATGTGTGATAAACAGATAAGTTCCAACTATTTGTCAATGAACATTTGCCATGTGGTAGCTAGTTGAATACCGTCTACCATCTGTTTAGGCTGTTCTTATTAGCCCATGTACACAGGCGCTTCTGCCACCAATCTTCCTTTATATATGCTAAATATTTTCTGAAGTATTTTGGACCCTCCGAAAATGATCTTGTGCCTTATTTCTAACTCATGTAACGCTATTACCAACCTATTCTCAAGTTTCTTCAGATCAACCGCGGATTAAGGGACACTTTTTAAACATTGTTTATATTCCTTCAACCTCATATTCAATTATCTTGAAGTTTCTCCGACGTACGCTGTATCACAATCCTGACAGTTGATTTCAAAGACAGTATTCTGTTGTTCTTTTTCAGGAGACTTATCTTCAACTTTCGATGATGCTAATCTAATGGTGTCACTAGCCCGAAAATAAACTCATATTATATTTGTTTAGAACCCTTCTAATTTCTACTGATGTGTGTTTACGGTATGAGATGACCACAGTAATCTTACATTCTTTCGTATACACTCTAATTTAGTTTTTCTTTATCATTTCTAATAATTTTCTTTGGGGTAATTGTTAGCCCAAAGTGTAGACCATGTTCCATTCAATTCAGCCAGTTGGTCTTCCTTCTCTGTAATCAGACATTATCTATTATCATATATAATAACCATTCGTCCATCTTAAGTTAGACATTTCATAAAAGTATAATGGTGAACTTTTTATCTAAGGTTTCACGAAATTTATTTCAATAGTTGAAATCATGAGTCGATTGAAGCTAGATCACTATGGAAAACTTGGAAGCACTGGACTGCCGTTTCGTCCTATTGTGGGACTCCTCAGCAATGTGCATCCACGAATATCTTATTTTATAATATACGAAATTTATAGGAAATGTTAATATTTACAGTTTTGTTTAAAGACAATGAATGATTAAGTGAATATTAGTTCAAAATGTTTGGCGTAAAGTTTATGTGAACATCACGACCGAATCAATTATCTTCTCAAATATATTAATGGAATTAGCTATAAATAGATCAGTTCTTTTATAATCTAATATAAGTTGAGGTTATCTTAGAAGAATTTACCATCTCTTCAATCGGCTTATGTAACTGATCAACAATCTATAATATGTATGATAGGACAGATTTAATCTACATTGACGCAATGTTTACTGTTTATCAAGTGCTAACAGATACAAATACTCGTCTTCCAAATAGTTCGAGTCCTTTGTTAAAAGCATTTGAAATAATGTTTCTTTATAGATAATTTATGGGGTTCACACGAAGCAAAAGGTACATTTTGGTTAAACTACAAGTTATTAATTCTTCTTTGCCAACTGAGTTATTAGAAATGACCTCAAAAGTTGAGTTTTTCCATTAATGTCAGATAGTAGCTAGTACTTCAGTTCAGTACGAACGTTTCTTCCAGCTGCCAGATTTAGTGTAGATGTTTAGACTATCACTTGAATCGATAATCTATCAATTTAAGCACCCAAAGTGTTATTTACTTAACCATTGAGTCTAAACAATTACTAAATCTTGTAACCAAATGATCAGCTTAAAATACATCTATTCAAAAAACAGGTTGATTATGTATAACGTAAAGTTACGAACCCTCATAAAGTAGTTTCTTTATTGTTTTGACTAACCATCTCTAACTAATTTACTATTGCTAGTATAAACAACAACACAAATAGTGGAACAGTGAATATGGTGTCATATAATGTAAGAAAAAAAAGAAATATGTAGTAAACTGAATATTACAGGTATAGAAGAGATTGTTTGAACAAAGATTACACGTGTCACATTTAACTAAACTATTTCTAGTTTTTCCCATACAAATTATCTATGGAATTCACAAATATACATATATATATAAGATGTCTGGACGTGAATTAAAGCCCATAAAGTTGTTATCTTAGGAAAATTATATTCTGAGGATTAAAAAAGGTAGTTTTCCCCTAACTGAGGAAGTATAATGCAGTAAGAAAATAAATGATTAGCGTTTTTTAGCGAGTTAGTTTTCTACGGGATGGGATGGCTCACCCCATGCCTAACCCTCCCTCTTTTTCCAGGCTTTGGGCCGACAGTAGCCCGAGAGGGACTCCAAACGGATAGAAAATAGACACCACTGAGTGATTCACAGTTATGTTGGTCCAGATTTTACTAAGAGATTCTGTAATTTGTGCGTTCAAATACATTTGATTGTTCCTAATTGTGTTCTCGTTTACTACAATTAAAATTGATTAAGCACAGCTAAGTTGAGATTTTGAAGATGCATATGCTAGGTTTGAAGCTATCATGAGTTCACTCAATCTGCGAACGAGAACAATACTCAGTGACCAAAGACCAGTAAGCTAGCTATTGATGCGTCCCAGTTCCGCTAACTAGAGGGGGAAGTCCAAGCTTGGAATGGGGAGTATGTTCTGCAAAACAGCCGGAAATGGGCGATAACAACAAACACAATTCAAAACGTATATATACAGTGCAAAACCGTCCTTGGGGAGAGTTACCAAATAGCATACTAAAAGACGCAGCGGACCAATAGAATTTAAGATATTTCCCAGTGGGAAATACGACATGAAGGTGAAAAGAGCGCCTTTGGCGCAAAAACAAAGAAATTTAAATTCTCTAAATAAAATTACAAAATTAGGTCCTTTCGCAAGTGAGTTCTGGGGATCTAACGTCCCCAACAGCATAGCTAAGTAATTATCAAAATAAATTGCATGATAAAACTCAAATAAACAGTTCACCATTTAACTTGTATACAATGTTCAATTTAAAACTGATGGATAGTTACTACATACATTAGCATATAATGCAGCTAACAGTCTGAGATGTTTATTTCGTTAAAAATCTTTAAAAACAATAGTTATGTAAGATACTTTATGATTGACATCATGAATTTACCTTAATTCGACCATCAGTGAAAACTAGGAATCGCTATATAGATATTTCTATTCTAGTATGAGACTACTTATTAGTATCGAATAATAAGCCGTTAAATGTTTTAACTTAAAAAGAGTGCTCAACATATAAACCACTAATCAGGGGATTAGGGGACTTAATTCATACATACTGTATTTCTATTAATATAAAATTTCTGTGAATGCAAGCGAAGTTGAATGTAAGCATCGTTTAATGGATTGTATCATTTAACTGATGCCTAAGTCTAGTTGGTTAAGCTCCTGGAGTGAGACTGATAGGTCCTGGGTTGGAATCTCGCGGGGTGCGGGATCGAGAATGCGCACTGCCGAGGAGTCCCATACTAGGACGAAACGGCCATCCAGTGCTTCCAGTTTTTCCATGGTGGTCTAGCTTCAATTAACTCATGATTTCAACCAATGAAATTTCTAAAATCTCCACAAAACCCATTCTGATAAAACACATTTGTTTGATAGAGTATGATTATCCTCTAAGAATTATTAATAAAGTTCAGATATATATTAATTAGAATTAAAGGTATGAAGATACAAGAATAATGTATATAAAGGTATCCATATGACCTTAAAATAAAGTTCTAAATTTTTTCAGAGTGATAAATTTTATTTCATTGAATGAGGCTAGATATTAACACTGTTCTATGCTAGCTCATTGGTCTAGAAGCTAAGTATACTCGCATAAAACCAAAGGTCTTGGGTTCATGATCTTGAATGCTCGATGTGGAATTATTCCACGTTAGGATCTAATACTTTCAGATTTTCAATGGTGATCTAACTTATATCCGAATTTTGCATCAAAAACAAAATAGTGGAGAGCTATGATGTCGTTTTCTTATACAATAATATCTCGCATGACAGATACCCAGTAAAAGAGCAATATATACATATATATTGTTAACTGATTCAAAATCACATCAAAGACATCCTTTACCTTACTGCTTGACACTAGTTTACTTGAATTATTTGGTTAATTAAGTTCCATTATAGTCAAACTACCCATATATATATATATATATATATATATATATATATATATATATCATATGATAAGGTTTCATTTCCTTTCTATTAAATCTCTTGTCTTATATTGTTACAGAACTATGTTATTCAGTTGACATTAGTACTTCCTCAAGATTTTAGCATCTAATTTTTGTTTAACTTTAGGTAACTGACTGAAATAACTTTCCTACAATACATCGTTATCATTTTCTAAAGCAACTCAATACTTAACAGTAATAGTGATAGTAATAATAATGCAATTAAATAATCCAAATATAAGCTTACTTCACAGAATTTCTGAAATGATGATTTTGTATTCCAGCATGTTTCTAGAGTTCTTTCAGAATTGGAAAAATTATCTACAAATGTACAATAGCACATTGCAACTGCTTCACGTGAAAACTGGAAGTAGAAATGAGGAAATACAAAAGAAAAATAAAAGAGAGAATGTTTTCAATATTTATAGAAAAATCTTTTCATAATTGAATTCATGAGTCAATTAAAGCTAGGCCACCAGGAAAAACCTGAAAGCACGGGACGGCCATTTCGTCCTAGTATACGACACCTCAGTAGTGTGTATCTACGATCCCGCTTCGCAAGATTCAAACCCATGATCTATTAGTCTAGTGAGAGAACGCTCAACCTCTAGACTACTGAACCAGCATAAAACGGTGTTAATGTCTAACTTCAACCAAGTCCATAGTGGTCTAGCTTCAATTGACCCATGAATTCAACTATAAAATTACTAAAATCTCCATAAAACCCTCTTCTGATAAGAATAATATTTATTAAAAAAATAGTTTCTTAAGTTTGTTTATTTTCATTATTGTTTATTTTTTTGATTTCAATGTCCTATCACGTTGAAAATAACTTTGATAAAAAAAGCGCATTTGTTTGCATTTACTTACTATAAATAGTGATTTATTGTTTAGCAAATTAGTTCTATAATAATTATAGGTTATCAGAAAGGGGTTTTGTGGATAGTATAGTAATAAAAAATACTTACGTTCATGAGTCAATTGAAGTTAGACCACCATGGGAAATCTGAAAGCACTGAATGACCGTTCTGTCCTAGTATGGTACTCCTCAGCATTGCTTATCCACCATCCCGCCCCACGAGATTCGAACCTAGGACCTATCAAGAGATACTCCTGGAGTTCTAATGAGAAGCCGTTACCAGTCAGATATTAACACTGTCGGATGCCGGCCAGCTCAGCGGTCTAGAGGTAAAGCGCTCGTGCGCGATACTGATAGGTCATGGGTTCGAATCTCGTAAGTCGGGATAGTGGATGCGCACTGCTGAGGAGTCTCATACTAGGACGAAACGGCCATCCAGTGCTTCCAGGTTTTCCATGGTGGTCTAGCTTCAATTGACTCATGATTTCAATCAGTGAAATATAATTATATGCTAATCATGTCGTAACATTGCAAAAGATTCATAAAGTGGTTGAAAAACAGTTGACTTCATTGTAGTGTTTGTATGAACTAATGATTCCTTTGTACTTGATGTGTATCTGCTGGTTTTGAATTCCAAATACAATACTTTACGATTGTATTCATCTAGTACTACTTAACATAAATCTCCGTATTTCGGGGATTCCTATTTCATATAATGATTCTTCTTACCATAACTCATTAGTATATACTTCGACTAATTTGATGATTGAAGTACATACATATGAAACGGTCGTTAAGAAAACACTCAATCGGCTAATACTATTACCTTTTTCTTTCAATTTGTAGTGTTTATTTTTCCTCGCTTACAGCTTTTTCTCCGAATATTAGAAAATAATTTACATTATACAGTAACAATACAAAACATAATTGATATGATATGATATGTAAGTCAATAGATCCGCCTTGATTTCTGATGCTTTGTATTGAGCACTCACTGATCTTTAGAACCCTAGAGGTAGATACTACAATGACGCCTAACAACCTTAAGTTTTATATAATAAAACAGTTTGTCAAGTAATTTGAATATAAACAACATTACCATATCAAGTAACTTATCACCAACTGTGTTTGTTAATTCCCACATTTGAAGTGTATTTAAAAAACTCATATGATACATGAGTAATTCTTGCACTTTAAAAAAGATAGTATCCACTTGTTGATCATCTAGAATCTTTTCTTGCTTCAAAGGTATCATGTACATCTAAATAAGAGAAGAAAATAATATATACAAGAATGTGTAAAGAATATACTTATATTGAATATTATTGATAGTAATGACAAAACAGTACCTAGAACAGTATACATCTAACTGCTCGAACAACTTCAATGTTCCTTTGAATTCCCAATTGTTAATAATAAAATATTCTACTCAATCAAAAAACTGATGAACTAAAATAGCATTTACTAAAGTCTTGTTAGTTTATTACTACATCCGAATGTTTCATAATGATTAATATTGTGGATACAGTTCATTCTAAGAATGAATCATAGATCATTGTTTTATTTGACTTTTTGTAAATACTTATTGTTCTTTTGTTGTTTTGCTTGTGTGGTGTGTGCTACATAAGTAGTATATGGTGTTAGTCATGAACAGAATGTCTGGCAGCAGAGAAACAAAAGGATCGAACAGTAAAAAATGGAAACAGAATGCAATTTTCATGAACATGAAAGAACAATGAAATCTGAATCATTTTGAGACTATTAGTGGACATTTTGCAAATGAGGCATTTACTTTATGATTATTAGATTTTATTAACAAATCGTTTGATTTTGTGTTAAATACATTCGACTGTCCCCACTGGTGTTTTGTTCACAACACTTGTATCTCGTTTATTTAACTAATTCATCTTTCAATGGTTAATATCATGAGTCAGTTGAGGCTAGACCGCCATGGAAAACCTGGAAGCACTGAAAGTGACTGGCTTCACGAGGTATATCCTGGAGTTCTAGTGAGAAGTAGTGGCCAGTGGAGTTCAACCAGGCCTGTTGTGGGATTGTAACTCACTGAAGACAATGGTGGATGTGTTGCTGAATTTCGTGGATTCGTTGAAGTTAGACATTAACACCGTTGGGTGCCAGCTGGCTCAGTGGTCTAGTGGTTAGGTGCTCGCGCGCGAACCCAGTAGGTTCTGGGTTCGAATCTCGCAGGGGTCGAGGTCGTGGATGCGCACTGCTGAGGAGTCCCACAATAGGACGAAACGACCGTCCAGTGCTTCCAGGTTTTCCATGGTGATCTAGCTTTAACTGACTAATGATCTTAACCATTGAAATTACTATAATATCCACAAAACCCATCTGATATTAATTCATATTTCTTTAGAATTATCAGTATCAATAATAATCTGTAATTACAGTAAATTGCCGAGTAATTACCATTGTTATTTATATCTCATTCTTTAGTCTTGACCGAATTCTATCAATCAAGTTATAAAATGACCCCTAATCTAAGTGCAACAATGTCATATGCAATATGTTTTAACGCTAGGTAATATATGAAGAAATCATGATGTCTGACATTCATCACTAGGTTGAAGAAAACATGATAAACAATATGTATACAGAAATGTAAGATAGAACCATTTAACGAGATAATTATTATTCCACTTTATTTATTCATCTTATCCTTGACAAATCAATCAATTTAATAAAATGTAGCTATGACACGAATAACCAGTGATCAATCAAAAATTTGCAGAATATGAAACACACTGAAGCTAGATCACCATGAAAATCCTGGAAGCACTGGACGGCCGTTTCTTCTAAGTGTAGGACTCCTGAACATTGCGCATCCACGATCCCGCGCTCTGCGAGATTTGAACTCAGGACCTATCGATCTCGCGCGAGAGTGTTAGGACGCAACGGCCGTTCAGTGCTTCCAGGTTTTCCATGGCGGTCTAGTTTCAACTATTGAAATTACTAAAATCTCAACAAAACCCCTTCTGATATTTTTTACTGTTTTTTTCTTTACGATGTAATATGTTTACATAAAATGGTTGACGAATTTTTTTTGTTTGTTTGATTTTGATATACATGAATTATTCATGTACATCATTGATACCCTACTGTGCAGAAACATGTAACCATCAATTTTAAATTTCTTTTGTAGTTGAATAGAAAATTCAATTTCAAAAATTAAAATTACTAATTCGTAAACAGATTTTGACGTGAATAAATATCCCGAAAGAAATCAGTGTACATAGAAACAATGTCAGTGTTGCTATTGTCACTGTTGTACACTTGTGAACAAGTTATGTTGGTATGTGTTCTAAGAATTTGTATATTCGACCTTGTGACCACATTCTAGTGTGGTTAAATAGAGGTGTATAGTTAAAATGTCAGTCAGTTAGTCAGTCAGCTACAACGTAGGATCAGGTACATATATGCATCGGTCCAAGTTACCATACAGCATTAGCATAGCAAGATGAACACCGGATTCATAGGAGTAGTTAAGTCAATGGTGGTAATATATAAAAGAAAGATTGCATATAAGGACATAATACAGGAAGAAAGAATTATTTCGTAGAAAGAAAGATATGAAGCGATTTTAATCTCTTAGTTTAAGGGAACACAGAGAGTGTATACACCTACGTCATTGTGATAGTTAAAATGGTTAACAACTCTACTTTAGTTCATTTCATTCAAATGGAACATACAGTCAACATGAAACAATTTTTTGTAATAATATATCGTGTTAACAACAGTCTACCTAATCCCGTTAGACTGAGAATCCTGTAGACGGTTGAAACAATTGCTATTCGGATAAAAAAAGGCCAGAGCTTTACATCCAAAAGAAATATGTTCAGTCACTCCTTTTACCCTGTTCAGCTCTGGGTCCAACTGGTTAATAATCAACTTTATAATGTGATGACGTAATTTGATTAATGTTCATTTTCATATCCTAAATTTATCTTAAAGAAGAATGTATTTGTAAAATCTCGGTGAATGAATTTTGAAGTGAATCCAACGTTTCGCCTGGCAATCTGGTCCAAGCTTATTTCAAGGAAATTTAATCAAATCGAATAATTATTATTCGTTATGGTTGATGTTTGATTATATTTTCCTTGAAAAAAGGTTGGATCAGATTGCCAGGCGAAACGTTGAATTTACTTCAAATTCTTTCTCTGAGATTTTACAAAAACATTCTTCCTCTTTAATGACTCACATTAACTCGGCGCCCAAATATTGTGAAACTATTCGTTCAAATTTAGACGAAAGTTCCCATCTAAATTTATCGTATCCACACATCTTACCATTGTCATTATTATTATTACTACACTTGCCAACCTTTTTGAGAAATGTATTCAGCATCCACCTCTATCTACTAATTCTTGTCCAGTTCGTATTACTCTACATATTACGTAATTCTCGATTTGTAATTACATTATTCTCTCTCTCTATCTATCTCAAACTACGTTCATCATATTCATTCTGATCATTTGTCTCACAATTTCAGTTCACTCATATTACTGAGTCGAGTCAACACTTCAGCCGAAACATTAACGATTTGGTTTTATTTTATATGACAAACAACAATCCTTGATTCACATATTACCATTTTAAATGATGTACTTTGCATTAAACCTGACCTTTTTTATGGATTATTAATTTGGATATAATAATTGTAGAACCTGATGATACACAAGACAAGAAATAAAGTTGAAGTGTTCTTGAAAGTATAATCTCATTTAGGTACTTAATCAAAATACAATGATTACATTACAGTTTTTGATAAATTGCCTTTCTAATACTATATTACACTCTATGTTCGATGGGCTCTATACCATCTTGGCTTAATTCATTTTCAAGTGAAGCTGTTATATACTCTCTTTCTTACGGTAATGACCCAGCTATTTCTCTTGCTTAGTATTCTCGGACACCGATTCACTCGACAAGTCCCCAAATCAAAACACTGATGAACAGGAAAGAGATTATATTCCAAATAACAAGGTTAGATGGGAGTAAGAAGTAAGTCAGAAGCACGATAGGGAAAACGTCAGTATATTTATAGTTTTTACATGAGAAGATTCTGGAGTATTCTTCAACTATCGACTAGTGCTAATTGGATAAGAATTAGCTAATCAGCATGCACCAAAGCAATCGTGCATTGAGCTTGCTTTAATCCAGTCCATGTTCCGCTAACAGAAGCACTAGTAAGTTATTCGCGTATTTGTACGAAAAAAATCCAGCGATTAGAAATGAGTTTTCATATTGTCCCACCCCCTTCCCCTTCAGAAAATGAAACACTATTGAATTCAAACCACGTTTATTACATACAATTTTAAGTTGATGGAAAACTCAATTTGATCCATTCTACTTGTATTTGGTTACATCAGTAAGAATTTTGAAAACTAATTTTCATTTGATGATTTGTCTAAAACAACCACTTTGTCACATGAAGTGTCTTTATCCCAAATATAATTGTGAAACTGTCGTTGCTCAGATGATAGAGAAGATTTATAGCTCAAGTAGATGATTTATTCTCTGAAGTAAATGGTTTGGTCGTGAAACTTTCATCATTCTTTTGAATAACATCATCAGCACAAACTTCTACCTGAAGTTCAGAGAAGCTTCGAGAACGAAACGCCATCAAAAAACAAAGCTATCGTTATTATTTTCAATAAATAATGAAAGGTAAACAATCAAACTATCCAGTTGAGAAAACTCCCAATCTTTTTACTTCCTTACTTACTTACTTACGCCTGTTACTTCTCAAAGAGGAGCATAGGCCGCTCACCAGCATTCTCCATCCAATCCTGTACTGGGCAATCCTTATCAGCTCTTTCCAGCTGTTATTCATCCTTTTCATATCTGCTTCTATTTCCCGACATAATGTGTTCTTTGGCCTTCCGCTTTTCCACTTCCCTTCACGATTCCAAGTTAGGGCTTGACTCGTGATGCAGTTTAGTGATTTCCGTAATGTATGCCCTATCCATTTCCATCGACTTTTCCTAATTTGGTTTGTTCTCTCCCACAGAAGGCTGTTGCTGATAGTATCCGGTCAATGGATGTTGAGTGTCTTGCATAGACAACTATTTATAAATACTTGTACCTTCTTGACTATGGTTGTGGCAATTCTTCAAGTTTCAGCTCCCTACAGTAGAACTGATTGTCTTGACGTTCATATTGAAGATTGTGACTTTGATATTGGTTGAGAGACAGTGGTTTTGAGTTCCATGTGTTCTTCAATTGTAGGAATACTGTCCTTGCTTTCCCATATCTCACTTTTACATCTCCATTCGATCTTTCTTGTTCATCGATGATGCTTCTCAGTTACATGAAGGATTCCACATCTTCCAGAGTTTCGCTATCAAGTGTGATTGGGTTAGTGTTCTCCACATCTCTTAGAAAACTAACTCGCTAAAAAAACGCTAACCAGAAAAAAAATTTCCAATCTTTTACATTCTTTTAATGGAATGTACTATTAAAGTTCCATTATTATTGATCTATCAATGAATAAATGATCATTTAAAACCGTTGAACGATTTATTCATGCTTACTATAAACTATAGTTCACTTTTTTCCCTTATACTATAAAGGAAAATTAAATAATATGAAAACACTAGAATCATATACTTGGTGATTATTGATTTTATGAAAAGTTTTCTAATTTCTTCGATTATTTTATTGGAAATAGAAAGAAAAAACAAGAAGAAAAAAAGAAAGAAGAAAAACAAGGATACAATCAATAAATTTGATGTACATCGGAGTGCAGATAGAAAAAGAAGAAAAAGATGAAGAAGAAGAAGGAAAAAAGTCCTTTTCATTGTGTGTTTATATATATTTCATTGGAATGAAAAAGAAATATGCACCTTTATACATTCCTAAATATATATATATATATACTTCAATGTAGTAGTAAATGTTCGCATGCATTCACATGTATCTATCTATCTATATATGACTATACAACACACAGTTTATACGTACACAATTCTGTTATATTACAAAGTTGTTGTGTTTTTCCTTTCTTTTTTCTTTTTGGTTGTTGTTGCTGGTGTTGTTGTTCCTATTATGTACAAATATGTACAAACTATAACTATAAAACTCTAATTATTAATGAACATTTATCTTCTATATTTATTGACCAACTAAGACAAATGAGATTATTACATAGAACTAATATGAATGTCAAAATTATCATATTCATATTTATAGTAATAATGAACTATATGAATCGGTTATTAAATTAGTTTCTATGTAACCTTAAACAAAATTCATGTGACTAAAATATTTCGATTGTATAATAAACTAATAAGAGATAAATTTCCTTTTCAGATCGAAGATATATATGAACTTTATCAATTGGTTATTTAAAATCAATCAAAATGAACCTTCAGCAAAGTTCTAACTTATAGGCTTTAGTGGTAATATTGAAATTCTCAGGATTCCAGTGACAAGACAGCTCAGTGGTCCAATAGGTTAAGCGTTCGCTTGTGAGACTGAAGGCTCTAGGTTCGGATCCCGCGAGCGGAATTGTGGATGCGCACTACTGAGGAGTCTCATAATAAGACGAAACGGTCGTCCAGCTCTTCCAAGTTTCTAACGGTGGTCTAACATCAATTGGTTCATGATATCAATCAAATACTATATAGTGATTGGATCAATAAAATAAGATGTACAATAGATAGTTACATTTATATAGGTTGGAGAAAAATAGATGGTTGAAATTATGGTAGCTAACAGTGAGATCCAGGATGCTTGTTTCATCCTATTTTGCACTGGTCAGCTGGATGTATTTGTATCTTAGAGTTGATGTTCACTCCGAGACTCGAGCCCATTACTGTTCACTTCAAACGCCACCACATCACTCACTTAGTTACTCCGTTTAAATAGCCATTAGCTTGTTCAAGGAAGTGAAGTCTAATTTATCTTTGTATTGGTTGCTTGAATCTTTCTATTAATGTTTAGGACTGAAAATAATCAAACTCTTATTGGTATATGTACATTTTGTGCGGATTGTCTCGATATTATCTTCAGTCACAAGAAGAGATTGATCAATTGCAGTCCTAAACATCAATGAGAAAATTCAAGCAGCCAATGCAAAATAGCAAATAGTTGTTTATCTTAATTTGTAGGGACAACGTATTGTTATAATATCGGTGTTTGTATGATAAACGTATATATTGTTTACCTTTTTGTAATACACCTATCTACGGTTAACTTTACTGATTATATATTTAACTACATTTATAAAATACATGGTAAAACTATGAATGATAACCTACATTGACTAGAGTAGTTAATGCATTCACATATTCTTTTTCAACATGAATAAGTTCTTTGACAGCATGTCGCCTTTTCGACTAAAAAGAAAGAAGAAAAATAACGTAAAGTCATTATGTATCCACATATTCCTCATATTAAATGACAGTAATTCAATAAGAATGACAATAACCAAATGCAAACTCATAATTCAACTAATAACAAAAATTTGACATGTTAGTTGAATGTATAGTTGGAGTAATTAAAATACTTATAGGGTAAGTTCAAAGATGCTTTTATTTTAACTTTTGATCTAGTCTTATTAACATAGATAGATAGTGGCTAACAATAGAATTCAGAACGTGAGTTTCGTCCTATTTAGGACTCGTCAGCTGAACTTACCTGCATCTCAGTGATGATGTTCACTCTGGTACTCGAACCAAGTACCGTTCGTTTCAAACGCCATCGCGTTATTCACTTCGTTACTGAGTCTAAATAGTCACTTGCTTATGCAATGGGATGACATTTAAATTCATTTGTTATTGATGTACTTGAATCTTCCTATTGCGGTTTAGGACTGTAAATGACCAGTCTCTTATTGGTCTATGAAGTGAATGATTCGAGTCCCGGAGTGAATATTAACTCCGAAATGCGGGTACCTCTAGCTGACGAGTCCCAAATAGGACAAAAAGCGCATCAAACTGGATTCCACTGTTAGCCATTTTTTTTTCACACATCCTAATAAGGAACTGATCAATTTCAGTCCTAAACATCAATGAGAAGATTCAAGTAAACAAAACCAATTGAATTTTGATAAATTCATTTTATAGAATAGTCGGCTGACCTAACTTTTTGCATTCCAGAAACTATTAACGAAATAGGAAGTTTTATTCTTGTCTCATAATGTAATGTAGAATCCAGTAGAAAAAAGGCAGGATGATTTTTGAAGGAACCTTTAGATAAAAAGTGACTTTCCTAAATAATCCCTCAACGTAATTATGTAAGAAACACGTTGTGTTGTTGTCCCATGAAGGTGTTATTTTTTAAGATGGATAACGTATGAAAGAAATAATTATGTTTCAAATGACGGCGAGACTGTAATATATGGACGCGTCAATCAGAAGCGTCTTAGGAATTTTAAGGTCACGGAGCCAAGTTCAACACCTGATGCTCACATACGATCGCTTTACAGCGGATTTTAGGGAAGAGGTGATTATTGAGCGGCTACAAGAGATGAAACTACTAAGAAGTTTCTGTGCCTGTGATTGCGGTTATCCAATGACTGCAGTACAGTGTTCAGACTATCGTGATGAGATTGTATTTTGTTGTTCTTTATGTTGGAGAAAAAAATCTGCTCGAACGGGGACTTTCTTCGCTCGATCGCGACTGAGACTGAAGCAAATCATGATAACAGTCGCAAATTGAATTATAAAGGCACTAGTAACACTGGCTGCGGCGTTTGCAGATGTTACTGAAACTTCAGCCGTCCAGTGGTATGAGTATTGTCGTGATATATGTACACTTAAAATGACACGTCTACACGAATCATTTGGAGGAGTCGGAAGTATTGTGGAAATAGATGAAACAGTAGTGCGAAAGCGAAAATACAGCAGGGGACGTAGTAACAAGGAAGATTGGGTAAGAAGCACTTCCGTAAATGTACTTGACAGGTACTTGGAATTTATGATTGCTCAACGCAAAAGGGGCATTTCAAGGGGGTGAGAAACCGTCAAGTAAGCACAATAATACCAATTATAAAGGAATACGTGCAGCCGGGCACTACGGTATATACAGACGATTGGAGAGCGTATAGATGCCTTCATAGGCTTGGGTATGTCCACCATGTCGTAGTGCATAAACGCCACTTTGTCGACCCTACTACCGGCGTGCATACTAACAACATGAAAGCCATGTGGTTGAGATTGAAGGGAATTTTAAGACCGTACTACGGCTCCAAAGGACGACTATTATGGAGCCATATGGACGAGTTCCGATATCGCATGCATTTTGATTTCAGAACATCTGAACATTTATCAAGCCTTAACAAGTTTTTAAATCACGTAAAAGAAGAGTATTCACTGTAATTCATTAGTTTCTTATAATATATTTTTACTTTATACTAACTGGCTTCTGATTGGTTAATAACTGTCAAGGCCACTTAGGATTCTTTCAAGGTTCGTCCATAAATTAGAGTCTCGCCGAAGTAACTGACTAGTGTTGTGATATTACTCTTAATTATGGTATATTTTTTCATTCATAATTTTGATAATCGTTCTCTCTTAAAATCATAATTAACTTATAATGGTTTGTCATTTATTTGGCAATAAGTAAACCAATCCTCCGATGTTTCAGTTCTAAAAAAGCAATCAGATCAGCCTGACCTGTTTCATCTCCCTCATACTATCTTGTTTCAAAATTCGAAATAAACATTTGGTTAAGGGGAACAAACATAGGATTTAACACTTGAAGCAAATAAATAGTGTTGTATTTCAAATCATTTTGTAGTGTCGGTTGCTATGTTATGCCCACATAACTTACTCTAGCTTCTGAATAGGCCAATTTATCCATTCTTCTTGGGTTACGTTTCTTGGTGCCGCTGTTTGTTTAGCAGCTGTCCTCGAGTACCTGGCGGCTGGTAATGCTGCTCGTGACAACAAGAAAACCCGTATCATCCCTTACCACTTACAACTGGGGATCCTCAAGGACGAGGAGTAGAACAAACTCCTCGATGGCGTAACCATCGCTCAGGATTATGTCCTTCCTAAATTCCAAGCAGTGTTACTTCCCAAGAAGACCGACAAGGTGAAGCCTTAATTGCTTCGACCGTGTGACTGGATAGTCAGGATAAGTTATGTGGGCTTAACATAGTAACTGACACCACAATTCTTTCAATATTTTTATGCATTTGAAAAAAGCACACATTACTTTTTTTTAATTTAATATATCTTTGTACAAACGGAAATCACTTTTATTTATCCAAATTTGTCATTCTTACAACAATTAAACATTTACTTTGAGTTTATGTTTTCTCAAGTTAAGCTAATCTGATTTATTCCAATATTTTTCAAGGAGACACCACTCAAAATCAAAGATCATTGGACATCTTTTCAACGATCTCATCTGGGATCAAACTTAGAGTTACCAAGTTTTTCAGTAAACCGTTAAAACCACTGTAATACAGTTTAAACTTGGATCATTTACTATATAGCGCAATGATCATCCATTCCTGTTGACAAATGTTTAACTCTGTTTTGTTTTATTATATATACATATATAATTAGCTGACTAAACACATTCAGTATTATCATACTTTTCACTCTATAATTTACCAAGAACCGTTTTGGACATAAATCAGATTCGAAGATATTTTTTTTAAACAGACAAACGAAGATATAATTTTTTTGGTGGAGTTTTGTTCTCGGATCTGGATGGTTTGATCGTCGAGCTTCCATCATTCTCCTGAATGGCATCATCATTGGAAGTTGACTTACACTTGAAGTTTGTGCTGATGATATCATTTAGAAGAACGATGAAAGCTCAACGACTAAATTATTCAGCTCAAGGAACAAAACTCTACCAACATCATCCAGTTGAGCTATAAATCTTCTCCACCATCTCGATGACATAACGAAAAGTACTGTGACAATTGTTTCATTCTAGTCTAACCCAAAGTAGTTTGGTTTTCATCTTCGATCAAATTTTATTTGAAATGTAAGTTTTGATTTTCCCTAAAACTGTAATTACTATCTATATTATGTTATCCAAAATACATATACTACTGCTCAGATATATGAGGTAGCTTTTCCTTTAAATTCAACGTCATCATAGATATAGCCAGTAATATTATAAGTACTTCGAAGTGTTTACAGAATGCAAGTGTTCAGTACTCTTGAGATAGTGGGGAAGATTTGTAGCTCAGGCGGGTGATTTTGATGGAGTTTTGTTCTCTGAGCTGGATAGTTTGGTTGGTACTCTTCCATAACCATCTGAATTAATAAAATCAATGCAAAATAACAAGATTTTCCCGTAAACCTACCAATATTAACACAGTTTTATCAGATGATACATTATCTGACTGAAGATTTTTCGCTTCATCTGAATGTAACAGTTGAGAATTATGTTTATCACACTCATTATTATTTTTTGATATTTTGGAAATGGAATGTAAAATTGGGGTATTAGCTGAATTCAATTCGTCTCCAATAGAATGATCTTCATCTGCTGTTTGTGTGTGACCACTGCTACACCCTCCACCAGTTGAACTACTACCTCCAGTATCTAAAGATGGCAGTGAACTCGAAGAACCTAAACAAGAAAAAAAATACACTAAATTAGTCATGTTTTATAGTTTCAAGTAAGAATATGCAACTGTAATCACCAATCTCTTGTCTTTTGAGAGTCCAAAGTTTTTAGTTTATTCATAAAAATTTCAGATTCATGTGCAGATTTTATTAGCATAAACAGTATGTTGAATTTATCCATTTCATAGTTTATGTCTTGAATCGACTTTATTCAGATAACCACTGTAACTTTATCATCAATTGCAGTAGAGAGGCATAACCAATGGTAATGGATGACTGGATTTAGACCATTGGACACTAGCTAATTATTATGAATGAAAAATGCTCTTTATGGAGTCTAATATTCAAAGTTTGATCGTCGAATTTGTGGGTGCTCATTTCTGAGAATCTCCATGCTCAGATGAAATAGTTATCAATTTCTTTCTGTCTTCTAACAGTTCTTCAACTAAAGCCAGTATTTTATGCTGATAACATACATTCTATTAATTGGCATGTTACAAAATAGTTCATGTGAGGTAAGCATGCCAACTAGTTTAGATTATTTTATCAATTTGTTTGCAAAACTGTTTGTCTAATTGATAACCAACAATATAACTATAGTTCACACGTTCGAATTATTATAATCACTGATGTATTACTCATTCAAATTTATATATGAAGTCATAGTGATATCTTTTACTGAACATATAGAATATTAATTTTGATAGTTGAGATCATGAGTCAATTGAAGCTAGACCACAATGGGAAACCTGGAAGCACTAGACGGTCGTTTCGTCTTATTGTAGGACTCCTCAGCAGTGCGCATTTACGATCCCGCCTCGCGATATTTGAGCCAAAGACTTAACATTTAGACCACTGAGCAGGCCGGCATCCAGCGGCGTTAATGTCTAACTTCAACTAATCCACGAAATTGAGCGACACATTCAGCATTGTCATCAGTAAGTTACTATCTAAAAACAGACCCAGTTGAACTCCACGGGTCACTTCACTGGTCGAATCTCGTAAGGCGGGATCGTGGATGCGCACTGTTGAAGAGTCCCACAATAGAGAATATTAATTCAAATCTACAGATTAAATCATGTCCATTTACAAACTCAGTGAGTTTTGGCTTAAGAATTACGAGAACAATCAAAACTTCGCTTAATAATTTTGGGCTATTGGTTATCAAATGGAAATTTTACAAAATGCATAAAATAGCTTGTTATTGAAGGAATCAGAGTAAAAGTTAACAGGATTAGGCTTAAACTTGAAAAAATGCCCATGTAATATGAATGTTGAACAACAGTATTGAGTTGATACATCTTCTAATATGATGAGGATGATAATAATAGAGTAATGTATGTAATATATGAAAAAATATCACAGATCTAAATCCCAGGTTGATATGGAATTAACCGATTGTTTCTGCAATATATTTTAGGTTAATGCATTAGCCTCTCTAAACCTTTATGTGGATATTGTAAATGATGTAAAAGAAACTAAATTGGAGCCTGAATATCCTAAATCTACGATGTATTACAGAAGAGTTAATTTTAGTAGTCCATTTTGTTCTTTATTTAACTTAGATGTATGGTGCAAAGAGAAATACAAAAGCCATCATCCAGAAGATACAGGTGTTTATTAACAGTTGTCTACAAAAAATACTTCGGATCTGTTGGCCAGACACTATCAGCAACAACCTACTTTTGGAGATAACAAGCCAGATTTCAGTGGAGGAAGAAATCAGGAAGAAGCGCTGGAAGTGAATAGGACACACATTGAGGAAAGCACCCAACTGCGTCACAAGACAAGCCCTCACATGGAATCCTCAAGGCCAAAGGAAAAGAAGAAGACCAAAGAGTACATTACACCGGGAAAGGGAGATAGATATGAAAAAAATGAACAGGAATTGGATGGAATTAGAAAAGAAGGCTCAGGACAGAGTGGGTTGGAGAATGCTGGTCGGTGGCCTATGCTCTATTAGGAGTAACAGGAGTAAGTATGGTTCAAAGGGAGAAGATAATATCAATGACCCACAAAACCTACCTCCTCACAAATAGTTGAATAAATGTTTCTATTAAAAAGTATAAAAGTCTATCAATGCTTACTGATTTATGTTTAAAATACAATACTTGTAAAAACAAATAAACATTTTGCATCACTTTGCATTCACACTGTTGTTTACAACCTCAGTACAAGAAGCTGTATTCTTAAACACTCTCAGAATATATCTTTTTCAAAGTTACTTAGAAGATGCATAAATAAAGTACACAGACTTTCTTTGGTTTGTATCTAAACTGAAAGTAAGTGAATCTATGACTCAGTTATCATATAGAGTTTATTTACTTGCATGATTGTTAAACAATGATGAAAAGTTACATTTAATCGTTGTGTTCCATTTAACGGCCCAGGACAGAGTGAGATGATGAATGCTAGTCGGTGACCTATGCTCCATTGGGAATAACAGGCGTAAGTAAGTCCCATTTAACATCAAGCCGAGGGAGGGCAATAAACGAAAGAAAATAGTACTTTTCTATAGCTGGAAATATATTTCATTTCAAATGCAATAACTCTGTACAGATTATAATCTTAATAGTTTAAACAAGCAGGATGACATTTTTATCATCTTAATCCATAAGTAACTTATAAATGAATTACCACTCATAAACAGTTTATTCAGTGCTATTCTCAGAACTCATTGAATATAGTTCTCTGTTAATTGATTTTTTTTGAATCCATATACTCTCTGTGTTATGCCCCGATAAGAATAATGAGTGGTAATTTTTGGGATCCATTTATGGACCAATACTATACGTATATTTTTACCGTATAATTGTTAATTAACTAAACTATTCATATTCATGTCCCTCTTATCATAAGCTTTATCTTAACCTATAAACTGTTATTACTCGATTTTCCATTCTTGAATTATTCCCTGTCTATTAGTCACTTCCTCCCTCATTCACAGCCACATCTGGCTAATTCTTGTACAAATGTTGTTTCATATTTTATTGGTACGTTGTGGTCTGTTTGATTGGTATATAAACTCAATATGTTTGAAATACAGTGATTCATATTGCAGAGTCTGAGACTAGTGTTCTGGACTTAACTGGCTGTGATAGGCTAGGCGGAAAGCAGGACCAATTAGAACTCTAGACTGCTCGCACGTGTTTTATGCGTCATTGTTCCGATCGATGAGTCACAGCATATTAATCGGCAGTCACAAGATATAACACTCTGGCTTTTAATCCTTATGCAAAAACTGACAAATGAAAGCTGAGTATTAATTTCATTATGATGGCGCTTAACAATTTTCAATTCAAACAATTACAATATCTCTATTGTTGATCTAAACCATGTAATCTTGAAGATCCTCAGTTTAATGTAAATGACTTCAGCAAGTTAAAATACATCCATAACTCTCTATGCCTTGGATATTCTACGTGTTCTATATATTTAATTAGCTAATTATACTAATTCGTCGATTCGTCGCTTATCATCAAGTCTTTATCGTCAACATTCAAGTCAGTGTTACCGATGTGCCTTATATGATAATCTACAATAATATAACAACTTTGTCAAGCTTTACATCGTTTATTATTACCTTAAATTATATTTAACTCAAGTTCTTTTTTACAAACCTCAATAATATCTTCAAAATGAATATTACATAACCAAGCTCTTTAACATAAATATTTGATTTGATTAAGTTCATGAATCGAACTCAGGTCCTAGGTTCGAACTCCGCAAGCGGGATCGTGAATGCACACTGCTGAGAAGTTCCACAATAGAACGAAACGACTATCCAGTGCTTCCAGGATTTCAGTAATGGTTTAAAATCAATCAGTTCATGATCTCAATCAAAACTTTAATAATCTCCGGAACCCTATACTGATAAATATTTTATCGATTGACTGTAGCAGACTAAAAATCGTTACACCTTCAGTACATCACTTAATTCAGGCTTATTTTTAACAAACCCTCCATTTTATCCTTCATCTTATGGTATATTAAGTACAATCCAAGTTTGTAGATAAGTTTTAAAAAAATGAAACATAAAAGGTTTTCTCATTATAAATCATTCCGTATAAGAAGAAGATGAAACTAAACTAATATCTTCTTACATAATATAAGAAGATTTGAGTAGACTGTTGAATTGTTACAATCAAGCACTAGAGATATGCTTCGTCCTTACATCGGATTCCTCAGCAGTATACATTCATAACCTATTAGAGAGTTGAACATAAGACGTTCAAATCTCATCAAGTTGGGCAATCGATAGTTTAAATGTTTAGCTTCAATCTAATACTACTATTACGAAACAGTCTTTCAATGTCTGTTAGTGAGTAAATGCATTGAAATCTGTTCATTTGAACCTTACTGGTCACAGTTTCTCACTGGAACTAGAGGAATTACCTCACAAACTTACTTACTAGTAAGCTCATGAATATTTTTACTATATAATGAGGTGTAGTGAACACGAACACGGGTGGGGACAATCGAATTACATTTAGCACAAAATTACAGAGTTAATTGGTAAATTAGAAAAAGCATACTATAATATTTAATTTGCAAAATGTTCAATAATTGTCTCGAACTTCATTGTTCTTGCATTTCCATACTAATTGCTTTCTATTCCAGTTCTTCCTTTCTTGATCTTTCTCATCTTCTGCTGCCAGATATTACATTCCTGACTCGTGTCATATACTACTTATATCAATATAAGTAGCACACAACACAGAGGTTTTTGAAATTTTCACATCTTTCAGTTGGTTCATCTTAGTTAAATGACTATTTTAACACATTTTTCCGCGGAATTAAAATGAATTCTTTCTCTAGTTTTTTTTTCTTTCTAAATACATTTCGATTCTTCAAATGTAGAAACCTTTTCTTCCCAAAGTGTCTATCAATGATTACAAAACTTATATTGAACTGCCCTACTTCCATTTCACCCTTTTCTGCTTATGTCCATGTATATATATATATGTGCAGATCTTAGTGTCTCTCTTTTCTGTCAGACAAAAA